TACAAAAGTTTTAAAACTTTCTACTGTATTATTTAAAAATATTCGACTAATTTTTTTTATTTTCTCTTTTTGTAGACGATTTCTTAGTTCAAATCTAAAAGTTCAAATTTTCTTTTTTAATGCATACGTACATACATATTATATAATTAAGTATACTTATATATATATATACGTATATAACTACATATGTATACTTATTTAATCATGTTCATTATATAAAATACAAAGTTAAAGTTTTGTATTGTATAAAATAGAAAAAAGTAAATGTGTAAAATTTAATGTGAATTATTATGAAAACGAATTTTTATTAGAAGAAAACAAAAAAAAACCAAAATACAAATATGTAGTCTTTTTGTGTATGTGAAACTATTAGTTTTAAAACTAAAATAAATATATCTATATCTTATTAAATATACATTCATATAATATACAAATAGTATAACATAGAAGAATAATACGAGTAGCAAAATATTTTTAAATAAAAATAAAATGGCAAAACTTTTTTTAAAAACAAACGAAATTTAAATTAAATAAAACATACATAGATATACATACATTTTATACATATTTTATGTATGAATATATATATTGAAGTTATGAACTACAACATAATCACAAACTGAGACATACAATTTTTTTTATTAAAATGAAAACTACATATTTATACATACATATTATTCTCAAACTAAAACTTCTAGCAAAATTTAATAAAATAATTTAACCATAAAAAACTGAATATTTATGATGAAAAAATACTTAGTTAGTCACAAGGATAAACCAATTTTGAGAAAAATAACAAAATTATGAAATTTTTTGTTTATTTAATTTAATATTAATCCTTACAACCGTTTCGATTAACAACTTAAATGTCATAATTATATAACATTATGTGCATTTAAATAGTAATAAATTAATTTACAATAATATATTTTCACTTTAAAAAGTTCTGCAAATTCTGTACGTGTACACGCATTATATTTAAGCTTAAGCCTGCTTAAGTTAATCGATTCAAAAATATATACATATATATTTATTTAATAATACTAAAAATTATGTACAATGTAGTTTAAATTTAAAAAAAATACTGGGTTTCTTTTCATCATAATATAAAACTTTAATTAAATACCATAAATAAATAATAATAACAACAGAACTCTTATTTAATTTATTTTTTTAATAAAAAAAATGCTAAGGGGAGATTACAACATACATACATACATAAAATAAATAAATTTTCCCATTTACTCGTAGTTTCATGAATGCTGTATATTTAAGTATTTGATTTTGTTTCATTTTTATCGAACAATTTAGTACTCGTATATGTTTAGTTACAATACCACAATCCAACAATTATTTCCGACTTGAGAAAAATTAAAAATATCCTAGACTTGCAAAATGCGTAATAATACTGTTTTAACAGATACAAATCAGTTTATAAGTGTAATTGCTGAACTGTGCAGTATTATCATATGATTCATATTACTGAATTTTAGAAGTCAAAGTATATTATACAGCTACAGTAATTTCAGTGTTGAAACATTAAGTTTGTGTCTAATGAGTACAGTGATAACAAAATCTCAAAGCCAAATCGTGACATTTGGTTGTAATTCTTATACTTTATTTTATCCTTGGCTTCCAGAATGCAGTAATACGATATTAATACATAATTCACCGCATAATAGTGAATTTTTCAATTGAAAAATAATAGCTTTTTTTCCAACACTCAAAAATTGTTGTCAGTTACACCCAGTGATCAATTACACGTATACCGCAATATTGAACTTTAAATTTGGGAAAAACACTGATTACCATCCAAAACCAAATTTCTATTTTAAGTCCTCCTTGGCACATAAAGTGTTAAAATTAGCAACTTTACACGCTAAATATTGACCATTGGGTCTTAAAAATTTTGCAAACATACATGCATTCATAGATATAAAATAATTAACAAAATAACTAAATAAATATTTATTGTAGAAAAAAAACCAAAGTAAAACTCTTATTTAAATGTATTGTGAAATATAAAATTGAAAATGAGTTTAACCATACTCAAAGTTGTAAGTTAAGTCTAAAATATTTAAAATAACATTTGGTGAATAATTAAAAATTGTAGAAAATTAAAAAATTTTTAAAATAAAATAGAAAAAACAAAACAAAATATAAAATAAAAAAAAACATTCAAAGTCAAAACATATCAAATTCGTGCCCGAATATGAAAATTATTATGAAATATCAAAACACAATTTTAATAAAACAAATTAATGAAATTTTTTTTCTATAAATTGTTTTTAAAGAAAAAAAATATACATTATTTTAGACCATTATATTATATTATAATATATATTTAAAAATGAAATAAGTAAATTAAAAAAAAAATATTTACAAAAACACTAATTTTAAAACTTATTATAAAAATACTAAAATAAATTATTACACCATTGAATAGAATATTAGAAAAAACAAAGTAAATAGATAAATAATACCATATTTAAAATATTGAAAACAAAATCTCAATTATAAAACTTTTCAAAACTGATTAGGAACTAAAAACTTAAAAAAGTGAAATTGATTATATAATTAACATAATCATATTTTGAGCTGTCACATATGAATATAAAAACAATTTTCGTTAAATATGAGAGTTAAAAAATGTTTAAATTTGTAAAAATAGAATAAAACTTCTATGATAATGGTATAGTTTTTGTGTACCGAGTCTCTAAACTAAAAAACAATCAGAATACAAGAAGAGGATTGAAGCGTCACTTTTAGACCAGTAATGCACATATATAACGAAAGCAACTTTTACCAGTTTAAACCAAAATAAGTCTAAAAAATATATTTTAACATCCAAAAATTTATAACAGTATAAAAATAATTTAAATGCTTAAAATTTGATATGTACATTTATAAAATGTAAAATTAAATGAAGAAAAAATCATTTATAAAATGTAAAATTAGAACTTTCTGAAAAATAAGAAAAGTTGATTTAGTTATCACCACTAATAGTTTTCTCTCCCCAACACTTTTTCAACTTTCCAAATATTCGGCAAGGTAATTAATTTACAATATATTATTAAAATATATAATATGTGTATTATATTATTATATTACTTAAAAATCTTACCTATATTATCTTTAATTAATAAACTTATTCGAAATATCAGTAAACTAAATAAAAATGTTTTGTTTTATTTTTATTAACTATAAATCTTTATTTTGTTTAAGACTAAATGTCATATATAATTCATCCTCTTCTGAGACACTAAATGTAGGCACACAAACTTTTATCTGGAAGTTTTTTTTTTACTAATTATTTTTAAGTTTTAAGTTCTTGAGAAATCATTAAAATAATTTTGTTGTTAAAGATTATTAGAAAGAAAAAACCAGAAGCAATATATTCGGTCATATATTATAAACATAATAAATTACATTACATTTGTATTATAATACCCTTTGTATTAGTATTTATATAACGATATAAGTCATATTAATGGTAATATACACAACTAATAATAAATTATAAACAATGTACCACAAACAATGAATGATCTTAATTGTTAGGTATTTTTACCTTAATCAAACTTTTCTTATATGCAATTACATAAACATGAAAAATTTTAAATTAAAAAAAAATATATATTACAAGGATAATTAAATCGCCCCTTTTTATGCCGTTAATTAATTTAGAAAAAAAAAAATAAAAAAAAGAAAATTATAAAAAAATATATATAATTAAAAATGCTTTTTAGTACGAGAAAGAGAGATTATGATGTTGAATATCGTACTTTAAAATTAAATAAACTTAATTATTACATAAATAAAATTATTTATATATTAATATATTTGAAAAAATATTATGAAAGTGTAATAAGTGAAAATAAATGAAATTTTAAATTGTTTTGTGTAATTAATTCAGTATGTTTTAATTTCAAATTTGATTAGCTTTAGTTAATATTGTATTTTAGATTATATTGTACTTCAAAGCTCGAATTTTAAAACTATCTGTTTTAACAAAATCTGTCAACAGAATCAAAAACATTCAATTTATTTAAATTCATAGTAAGTGAACTAAAGAATTTTATGATGATTTTAAGAAATTGTTACGTTTTTTTTTGGATTTACCATTGTATACATTTTTTTTTCAACTAATTTTTTTAAATTCCGTATTAAGTGAAGTACAAACTAAAGAATGATTTTAGAAGTTTCCATAGTTAAATTACATTTATGAGCATTTAATCTAAAGGAGGTTTGTTTTAATATATCGGAAAGAAAGAAAAGAAAATCTTTCAAGAGTTTCCTAAGGTATTTTGCAACAACACGCCTTGAAAAATGTTAATCCTTTTCTGAGATTCTTCGACTACTCTTTCTAAATATTTAAACTAAAACATGTTGAAATGTTTTTAACTTTCTTGAGTTCTTCCATTAATATTTAGAAATTTCAAAATATATTTTCTCCTCCATCAATCCTCCATCACAAAAAATGTTTGAGCTTCATTTCAGTCGAGGAAAACTTAGAAAGCGTCAGACATTACACTCTGAAAGAATAATCTAACCTGAACATTTGAACGTTTAACTCTGCTTTCAACTCTTTTTAAGGTAGTAGCAATAAGGGTTTGGAAGTTTACAAGGGATTTTAATATTTACACGGATATCCTTAATGGACATATGTTCCTTTTTCTAGGAATAGAACCGTTATTCCCCTCGATTAAGTATCGGAAATTTACAAACGCCATTATTTTAATAATTCAAACAAAATAGGTTTCGTAATGAGATTTTATTTGACTTTACATTTATGTATACGTAAGCAATAAATAATATTTGATATATATATTGATGTTTGTCTTAACGTAGTTAATTCTGATTTTCTTAACTTTTGATAATGCTTAATTTCAATTTATTGTACATATGGTATATTCATTCATGAAAATAGACCAGTTTTCAAGAAATTACTTTTACAATTTTTCAAAATTTTTTAAAGAAATTGTTTTTTTGTTATGTAGTTATTTTTTTTTCTTATAAATTGGACGTTATATTTAATATATAATTCATTTACATAAATATAATTAAAACTAGATTAATAATTTTTTTTATAAGAGAGATTGTTCTATCATTATCTTTTCAAATCCTGGAGGCGGTCCATAAGAAAAATTATTTAATATTATATCTAAAATGGCCCCATCGTCCACTAAAGTAAAAAAGCATAATAGTTACAAATAATATTACATATGTATGTACATAAAAAAAAAAACATACCGTATAATGCAGGATATACAGTTCCTTTTACATTAAGAACAGGTACTTCTAGATTCTTTCCATTCAAATAGAAATTTAATTCAACATGATCAAACGCGACACCTATGGTATCACCTTCTTGCGGCAGTAATATTTCTTCAGTTTTAGTTGATGTTAAAGGAGTTCTGTCACCATTCACAGTTTCTTCATGATTTTTGACTATTATACCGATTACTGTCGCCACTTCTTCATCATTATGATTTACCACATTATCTGAACATAAACACCAAGATTCTTTGTCAGTTCCACCTTTTGTTTTATTTAAATCTGCTTGGCGTGTTGCCAAGCCTATAGACCAAACACCGCCTTGCTGAATTTTAACTTCAAAGTAAGATTTAGACTGAACTAACGGCGCCGATGCTAGTGCCCCTCCAGAACCACACAACCTGCGACCATTTTTAACTATTACCACTTCATGACCTGTCGACACACAAAAAAATCAACTAATTTACAAATGAAATATTAAAGTTGAAAGTGAGATTAATATAATTGAAAAGCAAACGAACTCAAAATTTTTCTAAAACATATTTATGTACATCTATTAATGGAGTATTATTAAACAAGATAGGAAATCGGGATTATTTGAACATTTTCAGTGTTTTCAATATTTGGCCACCCACCTTCAAAAAGGTATGCTTTGCCGACGCAGAAAATTTAAATTTTTAAAGTTTGTTTTTTTGAGTAATTTCCTACAGAATTTTAATAAAATTTTTTGCTACAGAAATATGAATATAACATGCATAACATATGTACATAGTAGAAAGTACATACATATGTATATGTAATGCCTAATTGGAATTGAAATCAATTTTCTAATAATAATTTTAATTCGAATTGTACAGAAATAATACTTTTTAAAATACTGTTCAAAATTTAAATAACATTAAACAAACATTTGTAAATATAAAATCGATTTGTTTACCCATGTTCATATTGTCCAACTGTATTTCTGGTTCGTTGCTTTTGCTAACGGAAACCTGAGCTGTTAAATCACCATTGAAACAATTACGAAAACAGCAAAACATATTCGTCATTTAACAATTTTCGTATTCTACAAAAATATAAAATATTCAGGCAATTAAAGAATTCGGAAAAACTATATAGTACAAGAGTCATAATAAAAAAAATTAAGTTGTCAACAAACCGCCAACTAATTTCCCCTTTGTTGACATTTTTATAATGCGATTTGTGAAGCTCAAAAATCCCAGCAAACATTTTGACAAATTAAAATTCAAAAAATAATATCAATTCAGATATTTCAAAGTTTTAATTTGCATACAAACTAAAATCATTCTTTTTTTGTTTTAAAACTTTAACTTAAATTTTTTTAATCACTTTTTATTAAACTGAAATGTTGAAAAGTTAGGTACATATACAAATAATAAAACAACAAACATGTTAAAGCCATTCATGATGTTTTTGATATATGTATATGTACGAGTATGACTGTGATTTGTACCAACTGTGGTAATTAATTGAGAATGGGTAAAACTTTTTAAAAATAAATGTTCGTACAGTTCATGAATACTTATTAATATTTTAAGAAAACTATGTGACATTTCTATTTCATCGCACTATTTTGTAGTTTCTGTTTCAGGAAAAATAGAATTTTTCCAGAAAAAAAATAAATTTGGAAAGATTTCTGCTATTTAAAGTTTTAAAAAGATATTGTTTTGAAATTTCGCGAATTGTTCGTAAAATTTAAATCTCAGAAAGTATTGGATTTAACACCTATTTTTTAAACATATTTTTTAAGTATTTTCGATTTAATGTGGGAAAAAGGCAAAAAATGTTTAGTTTAATATTTTTATAAATAAAATTTTAGTTTATTTATTAGTTGAATAAATATATTTCGCTTAATATTTGAATATTGAGAATTGCTCAGTAATAGCAAAGTACTCAAAATTAATAAAAAAAATGTACCATTTTCTGTGGAACCATGATTTAAAGTTTCCTGTACCATTTTTTATATTGATTTTCATATCTTCTAAAAAATCGTATCTTGAAAAAAAAAAAACATAGTGAAGCCGAAAACCTCAGGTAAGTTTTTTTCTTTGCTTCGAGCATTGTCAGACTGAAATTAACATTAAATGCCAGATGTTATTGATTTCTTCTTGGAAAAATACACCACGCTTGTATAAATAAAAAAAATTTTTTGATTTCAAATGTAAAATTTCCGAGAATTATAAATGAACTTAAAAAAAAAGTGTAAACAATTTATTGTTGTTTTGAAAAAATTTATATGAAAAAATGTAAAATGGAAAAAGAAGAAAAAAACTTTGTAAGGAGAAAGAGGTGTATAATTCCAAATTGTTGTTCTCATTTAAAAGAACAAATGGAAGTTCCCCACCACACGTATGTGAATATAATTTATGTTAGTAATATAAAGAAATATTTATTTAATAGTGTTAAATTTATTTCGTAATTTTAATTATAATTCGTAAATTTTTATTATAATTCGTAAAATTTCTCAAGTTTTAATATTAGAAAGTAAATATTTGTTTTTGTTCTTTTTAATCACTTCGAATGACATAATTTTACCAAGACCGGATTTTTGTTCTATAAGCAAAATTAGTTTGTGTTTGATAAAATATAGCATACATACAATTTCTTAAATTGGTCTTTTTTTGTATAAGTACAGTTTTCCTAGAAGTAATGAAATGAAAAAAAGTGGATTGGAACTATTAATAAAGAAGTTTGCATTTAAAATATTTTACCAAAATTTATAATTTTATAATTTATAAAATTATACTCATAAAAATAATGAGTTTTAATTTTTTGTTATAGTTATTTAAAATAAAAAAAATACATATTTTGAAATATTTTTTAATTTTTACTTTAAAAAAAAATTTTAACTTATCCTTCTTACAAATTACACGTATTTTATAGTAGAGGCCAGATAAGGAAATAAAATAAATACCCTCCTGCTACAATTTTGACAATGCTCGGAGCAAAGAAAGAAACAACTAGAAAAAATTAGGTTTCATTGTTTTTCAAGATGCTCCTTCTTTTAGTATTTCTAATTCGTTGATAGAACGGTTAAAAATACCAAAATAATATTATATTAGTCATGGGCAATATCGCTCATATCAGTGATTCGTTCTGAACGAACTGCTTTTTTTCACTAACTGATTATAAAATCTCGTTCATTTCGTTCACTTCCCTTCTGTATATATTATTGCATGTTTTTTGGTTATAATTATATATATAGCTATTCGTATTTATGGTAAATTTTAAAGAAAAGAATATGTAATGGATTTTGTAAAATAGTAATAAGTTTTGAACCACAAAATATCTCTACTTATACGTATATAAACCAAAAAGTTTAAAACGTAGAGAAAAATTTAAAACTCTTACTTAAAAAACTGTTTAATTATAAGTAATTTCTTAAACCTAAGGAAATAAAACTTTTAAACCATTTGAGTTTAAATTTATGTTTGTAGATTCCTCACAAGAAATTTATAAAATAAAAATATTTGTAATTATCTTTATTTTTAATACTCGAAAAAAGCTATTTTTTAATACTCGTAGATTGTAGATTTGTACAACGGGGGCAACAATGCATCGCGACCACGTATAAGGATCTATTGTGCGCCCCCACCCGAGTGCGCGGCATACCCTACAACACACGCTCGAGACCCACCCTCCTTATGAACTCAAGCAACTTGTGAGGACCAGAAGACCGTAACTTCGCCACCGTTAGAGCAAAGCCTCCCAGCACCTCCCCACTCCTTCGAGCAAGAGCATCACACTCCCCCAGGAGGTGCACTGAGGTCTCTCCATACTCCCCACAGAATCTGCAAGCATCCTCATTTTCCAGGCCCAGCCGACTGAGGTGTCCCCTAAGCCTGCAGTTACCCGTCAAAATGCCGGTGAGGACTCTCACCTGGTTCTTGCCCATCCCTATAGTTTTCTTAAATCGCTTCTGGTCATAATCTCCGCAGAAGGGCTCCGACCCAAGAAAAGGTCTGTTTCCCCCCTTCCTTGCAAGCGCATCAACGGCCTCATTTTCTTCCACGCCCACATGGCCCGGCACCCACACAGTGTGACCCGGTTGCATCTGCCTAACTCGTTGAGCTTCTCAAGACAGCCCCATACTGTCGCGGAGGATACTGAAAACGAGTCCAGCGCTCCGATCACAGCCCGGCTATCCGACATAATCATTATTTCTTGTTCCCGATACCCCCTTTCTAGGCTGAACCGCACGCACATTTCAATGGTGTGCAACTCAACCCGAAACACACTCGGAAAAGTTTCCATAGGTTCGGACAAGTCCCCTCCTCGACAAGACGACCCCGATCTCTCACACCGATTATTCCGGCTCCATTTCTCCCCAACCTAAAAATGGCAGCCTTCGCTGCCATCTCCACAAGAAGGTGCAAGGGGGTTAGTCCCAAAATCTCCTCCATTGCCGCCGTTGGACAAGTTCTCATAGCCCCTGTGATGCAGACGCATGCGAGTCTCTGCAATCGTTTCAGATTCCTTCTAGCCGTACCAAGAGCCACCCTTCTTGCCCATGCTCCATAAGTTAGGAGCGGCACGACCACCATGGTATACATCCACCACATGACAGACGGAGAGCAGCCCCACGACCTGCCCGAGATGGCCCTGCAAACCATAAGTGCCCGAGTTTCCCGCGCACACACAGCTCCCTCGTGACTTCGCCAAAGAAGCTTGAAATCAAACGCCACTCCTAAGTATTTGACCTCCGATTTTCTCTCTACAGCCGCTCCGCACACGTATATTGTGCGCAGATGCTCCAGCTTCCTTCTCCTAGTGAAAGGCACCAGGGCCGTCTTGTTAGTGTTAAGCCTGAGGCCCACAGTATCGCACCTGGCCCGGGCCACCCGTAATCCCCTTTGGATATCATAAAGAGTTCCCTCAAACTTACCTCTAGCGATGATGACTATATCATCGGCATAAGCCTGGACTAATGCCGATGACTATATCATCGACCCCTGGCCACGCGCATTCTTAGGGTGCTCTGCCCCACAGCAGTCTCTGCTACTCTCGGTGCCATCATCCACGTCTCTACGCCTCAGGGCGTCCGCAATCGCCTCATGAGAAGTGTTGTCGAAGGCCCCCTCGATATCCAGGAACGCGCATAGCGCCACCTCCCCCTGCTCTATTGTGCTTTCTAGGGCACTGGCAAGGCGAAACAGAGCGATCTCTGTCGACCTCCCCGCCCGAAACGCATGCTGGCAATCGTTCAGCGGCCTCCTCGCCAGCACCCCCACCCGGACATGGTTATCAATTATTTTCTCCATCGTCTTCAATAAGAACGGTCTGAATGACTTGGGTACCATGTCCCTTCTTCCCACTTTGGGAATAAAGACAACCCTAGCCACCCGCCAGGACTGGGGAATGTATCCGAGAGCCAAGCTACTCCTAAATATTCTTATTACGAAAGGCATAATTGGCTCCAGCCCGCGTTGCAGAAGTGCTGGTGAAATCCCATGCACTCCCGACGCTTTGAAGGGCTGGAAAGTGCCAACAGCCCACCTTATCCTTTCCTCCATAATAATTCGCGCAGCTCTCCGCCAATCCTCAGGTCGTCCTGCATCTGACGCCACGGATCCGACATACGGAGTACTGCCAGGGAAATGCGCCTCCAGGAGGAGAAGAGCCCTTTTCTCCTCGTTCTCCGTGTAGCCGCCATCCGGTCTCCTTAAGAAGCAGTCACTGGCCTCCTGTCTCTAGCCAGGGCCCTGTGCAGCCTCGCAGCCGCCGGCGTTTCCGATATGCTCCCGCAGAATGATCTAAAGCTCCTGCGCTTAGCCCTGCGGATCTCCTTGCTGTAGGCTGTCAAGTTCATCTTGTACTCTTCTCAAGTACGTTCTCGCTTAGCTTTATTGAAAAGCCTGCGAACCCCGACCCTCAGGTTTTCCAATCGCGGGGTCCACCAAGGTGCATCTGTGAAATCCCTTGGCACACTAATGGGACAGTTCGACTCAAAAGCCTCGACCATAATTCCCCCGACTTCCACAGCCCTTTCCAACACCAGGGGATGCCTGGCCACAGTTCTAACCGAGGCGCCTGACAGTTTTGCCTCCAGGTCCTTTCTGCATCCCTCCCAGTTTGTCCGCCTCGGATTTCTGAAGGAAGATTTCTCATCCATCAACCAACCCAGACAAAACCGAATGATTCTATGATCTGACATAGAAACCTCCCCCGATACCTTCCAGTCGCGTACCAGAAACCCCACATTCGGACTGCCGAATGTGATATCCGGTACCTCCTCCCTAACATTAGTTACAAAAGTTGGGGCATTAAATATTTCTAGGTTTTCTTTAACTACAAATTCTAATAAGGATTCACCTCTAGTATTGGTGTCGCTGCTCCCCCATGCAACGTGATGCGCATTCGCATCACAGCCCATGATGAGTGGCCACCTCTTCCTATTGCACTGCTCCACAATTTTAAGCTCCATTCCCCGGAAAGTACGCTGATGCGAGCACTATCTCCAAATCCTTGCCCCCAACATTAATGCGGACCCTGACAGGTGTGAGGTCCCTTGTCATGTACTTTGAAAGTAAGGTAAAGTTAATATTTTTCTAATTAGAATGCAGGTCCTGGGTCGGTCCTGCCCGCAATCCTATACTACCTGCGCATCCCTAATTGACAGTCCTTTGATGTGCCCCCTGTATACCCAGGGCTCTTGTACCATGGCTATGCCCAGATGTTCCTTGGTGAACATCCTTGCCAGAACAGCTGAAGCTGCTCTGGCGTGGTGGACATTCACCTGGGCGACCCTGGTGCCTTCGTCCCTCATTTGTTGAGTTGACTGGCAGGGTGATCTTCCCCTGCCATCGGGACGTCATCTTCTGGGAAGGACTCCCTAAGACTTAGAAGAGTTAGCTCCAGGTCCTTCACCATCTCCTCCGTCGTTAATGAAGGGGAACGCCCCTCACCCGGGGTTTCATATCCCTCGCAAAGATCCCCCTCGTCCACCGATTCCTTTTTGGGACCATATGACTCTCCGTCCCGCCCGATGGCTTCCGCGGAAGAGTTATCGATCCCTATTCGGAGAACCTTTCCGCCACCGTCCTCTCGCTGCCCCATCAGCTTCCAGACCCGGGTGTGTATTCCCCCGCTTGGAGCCTGGAAGATGGCCAGCGTTTTTTCCAAGGCTTGGCCCCCGCTACTGGGGAAGAAGTCAGTGATTACACAAGGCTTAGGGATGTCATCTCCCTTCCTTGCCATTAATTCTGGTCCGCTCCATGTACCCAGAACTGGCGCTCGCTTGATCAGCCATTCAGCTGTCTCCTCATCTGCACAATCGATGAGTACTATCCCGGGCCTGAAGTCAAATTGGATGATGTTATCCCAGCCCTTGGCTACCTCCTCGATTATCGCCTCCTCCAGCTGGATGAGCTCCTGCTGGGTCAGCATAATGGAGGGGTATTAACTCGACAGAACTGCCACCTCCTCGGATCATCCAAGCCTCCAGGCTGACCCAGTGATGGCAGATAGGAGGGCTTCCTCCTTTTTCCCCCACGGTGCATCCCGGAGGGCTCGCCCCCCACATCGATAGCCTGCGAGGATGCGGAGGGCTTGGTCCGACTCTGCTCCATGCCATTCCTCCCTTGCAACCTTCTCCTTTTTTGTTATGTCCGGTTGCCCACGTACCATGACGGTCTTTTCCCGTCGTATCGATTTTTCCATTTTCTTTGTTTTGTTTGTTCCATTCATGTTTTGGTCCCACGAACAGCTAGGGAAAGGATAGTCCGCTACGCCAGAGCCCCGCATAACGTAGTAAGGTCAAAAATACTCTCTGAAGTGACCCGGTATCAAAGAGACTCCGTTCGCGGTAGCCAGTATACCCCCCGGCTACCAACTAGTCCACCAGGCGCATGTCGTGTAACCCCATTGGATAGGGGGGGGGGGGAGACTTATTGAAGGTAAGCTTACGCCGTTACGTCATGCCCAGGAGATTCTCTTGGTTTTCAGGTCTCACTTTCGACCTTGTCGGCATGGTTACACCTGCCAGACACCACAGAGTGGATCTACTATACTTAGTCCTAACAGATGTGGCAAAATAACACTAACAGAGTTCATTCATTGAGTAATCATTTAATTTAGAAACATAACATTCAACATTGCAAAGCTCACGACCTTTTTTTAACATAAAGCCATTTTCATACAAAAAAATTATTAAAAGTTGTTTTGCCTTGATCACTTTCCCATTCTCTCATCTTTTGTTCTTTCTTCTCATTAAAATTAGAAAACGGAATTGTTGTTGCAATTGGTTCTAATTTATTATTTATAACCATTTGAATAAAACAGAGATAAAGAAAAATATTGCAAATAAAAAACTCAAAATGTGATATCGTGGTTCGTGAGATCATAATTCATAGAGATATGTATACATTTTTTTCTCTTTCATAATGAAATGAGTGATAATAATATATTTCATATTTTATGTAATTGTATGTACATATTAATATTAATATAATTGGACATTTCATATTTAATTACACAAAATTAATTACATAAACAAACAAACATTAACATTATCTTATTTTCCCTTTATGTGTGAGTTGGAAATATTTTAATTCATGTAAGGAAGAGCTAAAGAAACTAAAATTGCAAGTATATAAAAGTGAGTGAACTAAATATTAATATTTATTTTAGAACATCTTTGATTCCATTTTATCATAATGTAACACTTTTTTTACTTTTTTTTTTAGATGTAGCAGGTGTTTAAAAAGGTTTCGAAGATAGCGGTCCAAACTACCTATCTATCTATCTGGTGTTTACTTAACATTATAATGCGCATAATTAATACCTTACCTCATCTTATTCAAATAAGTATATTCTTTTTCTGCTCTAATAATATACCAAAAATAAGATTTTACGTCAACTTAGTAAAAAAAAGTACAACTGATTTAACTCATAGACTCCTATAATAAAGATGCTTGTATTTAACTGCGCTAGCCATGATAATTAAAATATTTTTGTGATAGGCTAGCAATGTTTATGAACTAACTTGATTAGCAGCATTTGTTTATGAACATAAATATAGCGCAGTTTTCGCTATATATAGCGATATACTGTGTTTATGAAAAGGCTTAAAAATTTTCAATTAGAAAAAAAAGAAAAGATTTTTTGTGAAAACAATTAATAATGATTTTAAAATATTTAAATTTGTAAAAGTTAAAAATTACTAAAAGTGCTAGAAATAATGCTATTATAAAATTTAAAAATACAAACAATTTAAATCAAACTTCACAATACAAAAATAGATTTTGATTAAACATGGAAAATTCAGAAAACTTTGACATAAGCTCGGACTGTTCAGATTTTGAAGATGATTTAGTTCTAGATAAAATTGTAAACAGACTCACCGATTTTGTAAGTTTAAAAGATTTTTATATTAATTATATAAAAGTTATCCACTTCGTGCTTGTATGATGCGCCATATAAGTTTGTGCATGAATGCATATGTAATATGTATATGTATGCTTGTGATAACAATGCAAATAGAGATACATGTTTACATTTATTGACACAAGTGAACAATAGTTATATACATATATTATTTTAATTTTGAAATTTGATTTAAAATTTTGTTAATTGCAGGTGAGACAGCAATACTGCGGCTATTTAGAAAAACTTCTAACTGAAAATTACAAAAATTGGTGTATGCACACGTTGAAATCTCAAGAAAATCCTCCAGAAAGTTGGATTAAGGAATGCGTTAATATATATGAAGGAAATGCAATTAAATCTTGTATGATAGTTCAATTCTATCGTCACACTATGCTTAAAACAATGACAAAAATTCGTAAATTTACCATGAATGGCAAACTTGCTGATAAAATAAAACTATATTCTGACACAGGTTGTTATAAGAAAGAATCCATCAACTTCGTTACTGTAGCTACCCAAACGGAGGATACCATACAAGACAATTTAATTGATACGACTTTTGAAAATAAACGTAGGAGTGGTTATGATGAAACGAACTTGAAAATATTTAAACGCAATGAACTATCATTAGATCAAAGATTAACATTATTTAAAAAAAGGCTTATGAATACTGAGTTATCAGAAAATTTTTTAAGCAAACGTGCTCGTTGCGCAAAGCGATATAATTTTTGTAAAAATCCGGATCAAGATTTTAAATCAAAAGAAGTAAACCAATTAGATAAAAGCTTCCAAAAGTCATATTTAAAATGCGAAAAACTGTCTAAAAGTCAAGAAGAAAAAAAAGTAACCGATTATATTAACATTGAAGAGCAATTGGAGCAAATTTTTGAAACTAAAGAAGATGATATTGCAAAGGAACTTGACAAAATATTTCAGGACGAGCAAAGTGAACTTGACGAAATATTTGGAAGCTCGAATAAGATTGACGATCCAGAAATTAATAGTATTCTTCGAGAAATCGAACATGCGAATTTACCACTTGCACAAACATATGATAATCAATTTAGTTTTTCAACGAAAGATTTAAATGAGTCTAATCAAAATTTAGAAAAAATTCCTACTTGTGAAACACATGAAAAACAGAATGATGCTCTAAAATTCAGTTTATGGCCATGTGAACTGCATATGAGAAGACAAAAACTACGAAACCTTTTAAGTAAAATTGGGGAGGAATTCGGTATAAGGTGCCATGAAAATCTTAGGCTTAAATTTCTCGTACTCTTTGGTGAAGATGAGGAAGATGTGTTTGCTCCTTACAGTCCAACATTAGAATTAGATGACATATTAATTTCAAGTTGCAAAAAACGTATAGCTCCATGGATAGTTAAGTACCTAATGATACCAATGACTGAGGGGAAAATTGGTAGTCGGTTAATTTTTAAAAAGTTCGCTAAGAAAATTGCACATAAGATTATTTTGGAAGATCAATATCCAAGTAATTTCATAGTTTACTATATTACTTTGTATTTCTTGTTAATTTATATGAATGTATTTTTATTTTCAGGTGAGCAATATGTCAAAGCGTCAATAGAAAATTATTTTAGTTTATATCCCCCAATAATGGCTTTGGAACAAATAAAGATATAAAGAAACTATAATTATAAGATAAAGTAAAACATCCATATATATAGACTTATGCCTGATTTTATAAAACGTAGAATTGCATTGATTATTTGCTTCTTTAACTCAACTTGCTTATATGGTTTCATTATTCTAGACACATATATTATGTATTGTTTTATTTTTCTCGCGCTTTAACATAGGATTTTAGCTTGCGCATTCAAATAAATCAAAATAAAACAACGTCGAGACGATTAAAATTATTAGTTGAAAAAAAAAAAACAAATAACAAGAAAAGACTATACTTATAATATTAATATATATGAGTTAAATTTATTTTTAATAAATAATAACAATGTTACTTATCAATATTTTTTTTTGTTTTTGTTCCTCTTTTATATTTATATATTACAATTTTTTTAATAACGTTCGACGAAATTTAACGTATGCTTTTATACTTATTTATATAATTTTAGTTCTTAATTTTTGATTACCATATGTTCTATATAAGATCTTTATTAAGATATTTGTATTTTGATATTGAATATTAAGTCAAAACATAGTTCTATTTAAACTATAGAAAGTAAATTAGTATTTCAGACCCAAAAACTTAAGATATTTATTAAATTTTGACTAGGTTTTTATTAGTATTATTTAAATTAAACATTGTTATAATTTCTGTTTAAAAAAACTATTTAATAAACAAAATTAAAGTGGATTAATTGCCTATTTTCAATTTAATATAAGTTAATAAATATAATTAAAAATTCGTATAAGGGTTCTTAAAAAAGCAACAATCTCATTTATAAAGTGTTTTCTAATTTATTTTGTCGTTTCTGTAGCCTTTTAATGCTTTATGTTAACAATATTTCTATAATTTAATTTATTTAATTAATATTTTTTTGTTAATAAATATTTTGTAATTTATTTTTTACTTTAAAAACTTTTCTATAAATTAGTGCAATTTATATTTTTAATTTTACACACGTTTCGAGACTGTTATCCTGTTTATTATTATTACAATACAAATTAGTATAGATATATACATAAGTATTTCCATAATATGTAAAATATAATAAATGAAAATACAAAATATTATGGTGTTTAATAAAAAACTTTTTTTAGAATAAAATTTTAAAAAGATTTTTAGCTTTGGAAATTCATTTAAATAATGGAAAGTTGAAAAGAATGCCTAAACTTAAAATCGCCGTGTTAATTTCTAGATTTTACCGAATTTTAACAAACTTACTCTATTTATGCGACTTAAAATAACTATGTATTTATTTGACCCTTCTAATAAAATATTTGATTATTATTTTTTCTTTCATTCATGTTTTCCAAACTAAGACTTTTGTATTGCTGTTTTAAGATTTTATATTAAAATTAACTTGACTAAATTACATAATTATGTAGTTACAAATGGAAAACCTATCATATATTTTAGACGATTTAAAAAAATATACAATGCGGTTACGGTAGACAATAGTAGAAAAACTAATAACACTTTATACATTCACTTTAATTTTAATTACTTTTATTTATTTCATGTTTTATATAATTTTTGCATTTTACTTATATGAATATATTTTAATATGTATATTTTAATCACATGGTAATTTTTTAATACTAAAATGCCGATTATCATTTCAAAAATGAACTGAATTTACAAATATATACATAAGTATTCATTCCCGAAACAATGATTAAACAGTAAAAAAACATTATGCTTTTTCAAATCATGGAAAAAAGAGGAATGATGATTTATAATTAAAATCTGAAAATATGCATTATTAATCATCACAAAAAAATTAAAAATATAATTATTGATAAGCATGTACATATATTATGTGTACATGTAACATATGAAACACATACATTACATCAATAGAAGAACAACTTGAATCCAATAAAGAAATTTTCATTTTCTTCACATCATTTTAATTACAAATTTAAAATGTTTTCTTTCCGCATAAAGCTAATAATATATATTGAATTTTATTTGATATTGAAAATAAAAATTTTGATACTTAGTAATAATTCTGATTAACTTTATGATATTTTGCATTGGTTAGCACCATGAAAAAAATGGGCTTTTATCTTGGAAGCTTTGCTTAAATGAAAACAATCCATGTCGTTCCCTTCCACTGTTTGACCTTAAATTTGAAAGAAATTTTAAATATTAAAAAAGATTAAAGCACTTCATTACTGATTACTACATTTTTTTTTGGTATCCAGTCTCTTTTCAAGTTTAAATTTAGGTATAAGATTTTTTTCGTTTTTTTTTTTATTACAAGAAAATTCTGATGAAAAAATTAAAATTAGTTAATAATGAGATTAATTTAAAATATTTTTTAGCTGCGAAAAAAAATACCAAAGACATTAAAAACGTTAACAACAAATTTACAAAAGTTCAATGAATTGTTAAGAAAGTAATGTACATATGTATGTACCTAGAGAAACTTAACTAGTACAATTTAATATTTTTTTATAATTATCATCTTACGTTTTCATCAGTATTAGAAAATAATTAAAAAAATTAGTTAACGCTAGAGCACCGAATGAAAGAACTTTTTATAATACGTGAATAATTTAATTTGCTTAAAATCAGAAAATTAAGTTAACTTTTTTTCTATAGCAATACATATATGTATATATTGGGTGTATGCATTGAAAACCGAACTTTCACAACAGATGGCCCTACTAACACCTGCGCTGTCATACTTCAATGACATATACGTCATTTTAAAGTACCATCGGTTAGTTGTCAAAGCCACAAAGACTATTCGCTAACATTGAGTGCGCGTAAGTTTTTTACCGTCATGGAGAACTTGGAAAATTGGCGTAAAAAACAGCATTTGCGGGAAGTATTGTTAGGATACTTTTTCGCGAAGAAAACTTTTGCCGAAAGTCATCGTTTGCTGGTGGCGGTTTATGGTGACGATGCTCTATCCAGAACACAGTGTTTTGAGTGGTTCAAACGCTTTGAAAGTGGCGATTTCGACATCAAGGACAAAGAGCGCCCTGGTCAAGAGAAAAAATTTGAAGACGAAGAATTAGAGACCCTACTCAGTGAAGACTCGTGCCAAACGCAAGATGAGCTCGCAAAAGCACTTGGCGTGTCACAGGCAACCATTTCCAGGCGTTTGAAATCGCCTGTATATATGTATAAAAGAAAAAAGAAATAATAATTGTAATCGACAATTCTAATGAAAATAAATATATGTATGTAACTTAAGGAAAAATAAAACCCGAATTTCGACACGTTTTTTGTTTAAAATACGAATTATTTTAGATATAGATATAGTTATATACTACATTTAATATTACCTTTCAACTAACACAGCTGGCATTTGAACTAGTTGCACAGGCGATTTATTATCTTTCAGTGCTTGTGTCAAATTTAAAATTTGACCGCGCATTACGCTCATTTGTCTTTCATATAAACTCTTATCAAAACCCTTGTCTTGCTAAAATACATAAAAGAAAAAAAAATTTTAATTGAAAATTTTTAAACATAGCAAAACGCATTTACTTTAAATAACACATATAACTCGTTACATATTTCTTCAACAAAATTCATATCAGATAATGGCGCTAAAACAAGATTTTTTGTTTCATTACTGAATGGTACTTTTGCTTGTTGTAACCACGCCCAATGATACGGATACGCTCTCCATGAATCTGGGTGTTTAAATGGAAATGCTAAACCATTGTCAATTGCTGCTATTTTAATTTCTGGCATTTTTATTACAGCCCAGTCAACCGGGCTTTCATCATCTTCCATTTGCTCTTCTTCTGAAGGCTCTTTTTCTCGACTAGTCCCTGGTTGTTGATTAACATCTACTATAACACTATTTGATTGTAGGTGAATTTTACTATCCTTCTTTAGTCGACTTGATGGTTGCACTTGTTTTGGTGCATCGTACTTGATAAGCCAATTGTCATTACCACGATCCGTGTTTCTTATAATATAATCCAATACAACTAAACGTTCGAACTGCAATTGAAATGATTTTGCCAATTGAGGATTTAATGGATCATTTTCGAATCTGCGCAACCAATAATCAGCATCTTTGTAACCTTCCACGAAAAGTTGAAATGATCCCGACTAGGATAAAAAAAAATATTTTCAATTAAACAATATTTTCTTAAATTTATATATAAAGAGCAAATTTTAAATTTATAATAACCTTAAGTGGAAGGCTCATGCGATTAAATTTGAATTTTGTAAAACGCTCTTTCATTCTTCGTTTAATTTTCTCTTTTTGCCGGTCGATACTAGCATAGTTAAAAGTTTCAGCGACAAGTCGGACAACCCTCGTTCTGGGCACAATATTCAATTTTAATTTTTGATCAACTAAACTAGCTCCAGCTTCAGATAAGTAACTAAAGAGAAACGCATTCACAACATTGTAAATTATATAAATCAGTGGAAATACCCTTGATTAGGAATTAAACAAGCTCTTCCAAAACAACATGGGCAGCACAATTTATGCATCCACTTTGTCCATTTTGGGTTTAAACGTCCATAAGGTTCCTCATCTTTTGGTTTGAAAACAGCTATGATTTTCTACAAAATCAATATTAATTGTGTAAAATATTATTTGTACAGCTATGTAACGGAGATATGTTTTTGAAAATCCAAAATATTTTCCTTAAAACTTTATGAAAGAAAAATTCCCCAAATTCAATTATATTAATATTGCTCATTTTTAGTAATTTATTATCAGTCTTAAAATTGATTAATTTTTAAAACTAATTTTGCAATTGAGCACGTCAAAAATATATTTTTCTTAAAAATTTGCTATGTAAGACTAACTTAAAAATCAAAATCTTGCGTAATAAAAATCACTAAGTTCTCCAAATGTGACACTTTTGGTTCCACAAATTTATGTCGTAACTTGAATTGTCGCTTGAGGAGGAAAATAATATATAGAAACAAAAAGTGAATTATACAAACTATTTTATATTATAATTCGCCTGCTTTTTTTTTTAAAGTAACAAAGTTTAAAACAAAAATGAAAAAACTAAAAAATATAATAACAAAACCAAAAAATTCATTTTTGTAACAAAAATAAATAAATTAAAATCTGTATAAGTTGATACGTATATCATTTTAGTTCGTATTTTTAACTACTAATTAGTGTGGTAATCTACAAAAAATCAGTAAAATCTAACAAAAAAAAAATTTAAAAATTTCAATTAATGTCGTATCAGGAACAATGTCGCAAGCCGAATAAAAATGGTTCAAATTTATATCATGTCATAACTCGAAATGTCGTATCTCGAGGACTTAATGTATAAAATGTCTTCGGAATTGAATGTTGTTTTTATTATTTTCCTGGTTTAACTTACCCCTGAAGGATCCTTAACAAAGTATGATCCACTACTACCTTGATATATTCTTTCAGGAAATATACGGTGTTCTATAGCAATTTCGGCCTGTGAGACTAACTCATTAAATTGCGGATCATCTAAAAATATAAAATGTTCAGTTAATATTTCTATTGATGGTAACATTAGTAAATTTAATATTTTAGATATGTACTAAAAAAATTTGTTTTTAATATAAGTAATTTATTCGATTTCCCAAATTTTACATGAGTAACTTTTAGGTTTATGAACGTGTAAATCTGCTGCATTAGGGCCACTACTTGAGTTTCTTTGAAATGAAATTTGACAACAAAAAATTAGTTACACGTAAATTAAAAAAATTCATATAGGTGCGTACACCGTATTTTAAAAATACAAAATCAATTTACAATAAAAATGAATAATTAATGAAACACCTGTAAATAATGCTTACATTTTCATTACTTTTTTTCCTTACAAAAACGAATTAATTTCCAAACTTGCGTGCATTATTGAAAAAATATTATTAGCTTTTTTTGGTACTTCTGTGTAAATAAAAACAACAATATTAATTTCGTTTCTTAATAGGGTTCTCATTAAATATTAGTAAATAACTTGTAAAATAAGACAAACATCAAGTAATTTAAAATTAATCGATTGCAGTAAAAAGAAATCGAAATTAAAATTAAATAAAATTGAAGTAAAAAAGTAAAAATCGAAAATTGAATTTTCTGAACATAAAAATATTTTAAGAACAAGTTTAATGGTAAAAAACTTAAAATTTCGTCCTTATACAAACTAAAAACATACGCTTTAAATAACTGAAATAATACCACAAAGTCTTCAATAAGAAAAAAGCTTCGGAGAAATATGAATTTATTTGGTACCATTACGTTTTTTACAACTAAACAAGTTAAAATTCAATTCGCAGAACTTAGGTGGATATTTAAATATATTCAAATATCCATTTAGGTACAATAAGGCGATTTATTGAATATTTGAACAGCTACAATTAAAATATAATTAAAAAAGAATCGAAATATACGTAGAACGAATAATAGTCCAAAATTCAATGCAACCCTTATTAATTTAAATTCAACATCTTTCATACTTCCCTCTATCGATATTTTGACTTTTAATAAATTATTAAACCATCAGCACCTAAAACTTAAATTATTTTAATAATTTTAACTTGAAACCAACATTTCAAAAGAGGTGCCCAATTCAAAAATGGAAAGTGTTTAATTGCAAATTATGTACGTATATAGATAATTAGCTCAATAATCACATAAAACATCCGATGAAGTAACAGGTATATCAAAACTTTTCAAATAAATTATTCACAAAAGTTTAAATACTTATAGTATGCTTTAAATTGCATTTGTTATTAAATAAAATTCTATATATGTATGTATATAATTCATAGGCACATTCATAACTCATTAATCCTCAAACTACGTAAGTATATAAATCAATAACCTATGTGTACGCTTTAGACAATTTTTTACCACATAAATTAAAGTTTGATATCATTGATATTTCCTTGACACTAAAATAAAAATTATCACGAAATGTAAACGTATCTTCAACTACTTTACAATTTTCAAATTTTTTGACTTGTGAATCATTAAAACAAAAAATATTCAAATCTTCCTGTAAGAAATTCATGGAAAAATTAAACCTTTATTGTTCTGCAAGGAAAAATGTTTTACAAATTCGTAAAATAAACTAAATTTGAAAATGTAATGTATTTTACTTTTTTGCAAGGAAAAATAAAAAATACCTATTAAGTTATTTGTCTTAAAGTAGTTTATGGCTAAATTAGCATAAAATTTTCATTTAATGAATTTTTTTTACTGATAACATTATATAATAATTAAACTGTGTAAATTGAAGTACCGAAGTACTTTATTTTGTTTAAAACAAAAATACGTTCAAAAGCGAATTCTAAAGTTGTTACCGGCAATTTCTTTATTTACTTTTTTTCAAAGTAATCCGAATTAATATATAATTTTTGTATTGATATGCAAATTTAATTTATATATTATAGTAATTTGATATAGGTATATTTCAAATGACATATAATTTATGCAAGACCTATTTATGGTAGACCTATCTACATAATAATCAGAATGTGGACATTTAGGAATAAAATGAAATATAATAAAATTAGATAATTACCAGTTTCCTTTTAGATTTTATAAAAACATTAAATTTTTTTGGTTAATTCAAATACAATATAAGATAAGGAAAAAAAAAATTCTCATTAATTTTATTTTGATAACGTATTTGTATTAATTTTATTCTAAGATGTGCATAATATATTTATTAAAAATAAATCTGATAGAAAACAGACTTACAAAACCGAACTCGATTTGAAGACTTTAAACTATGGTAAGATGATTTATTTATATGACAATTTCTAGGCATTTCATCAAATTCTCTTATAAGTTCAAGGTTCTCGTATCCCACTTTTAATACTTTTTAATAAAATAACACTTTTTCTTACGTTCACAGTTTCCCCATAAATATTTCTGTTTTTGTAAAAATATTTGATTGTACATATAATTTAAAAGTTTCAAAACATAAAAACTTTTGTAAGCACATAAGATTCAAAATTTTTTAAAAATGGCATCATCAATTTTGTAATATTTCCTCTAGTACATTTATATGTATAAATAAGTTCATAAGTATGAGATATACGATATACATGCGATATACATTTGCGATGTACATACTTATGAAGAATCAATTAGGATCCCTTTAATATCGATCTTAACAATTCACATATTTTCGAAGTGATTCATAAGAAAACCATCCTTGAAACAAGAAAAAAAGTTAAGGAAAAAAAATCAATTTACCCATTTTTTAGAAATATGTCTCTGTAAAACACAGAAACCTAAATATATTACAAATTTCAAATCTTGAATAGAATTCTTACTAAAAAAATTATCAATTATGAAAAACGGCATGAAAATTTCTACTGAAGAAAATTATAATTCATAAATTTTCAAAAGGAAGCATGTACAATTATTTAAGTGCCTATAATGTGCATGTTTACCTTAAACATGTCAACAATCTACAAACACCAAAACAAAAACAAACAAAAAAAATTACTTTATTTGAGATAAGACAGCCATTCTCGCAAAAAATTTTATATTTTGTAGCTGGCTATGCACAAAGCCTATTTTGTAATCATGTTTTTTTTTTCAAAAAGATAAAAGCTCAATCAAAATTTAATTGAAACGTACATATGTATGTGTATTTATATGTACTTATAAATTTGTAAGAATTTAAGTCGCAAATTGTTGTAGATTTAATTAGTTGTATTATTGTAGATTGTTGTACATTTATTGACCTTTAAATTATTAAAAATATATTTTATATCTTATTTACAAAATTATTCCTCACCTGGAAAATTATTACTAACATTTTCGGAATGCTCACGACCACCTAACAGTGGCTGTGATTCCCTATAGTCACCACCGGAATCCAGATTAATTCCTTCAAATTCAACTTCTGGAACTAAACTAACTTCGTCTGTTATAGCTAGTGAATCACTAGTAGTGCTGCTACGACAACTTGGTGTTGATAAATTATTATTAATTGTCAAAGAGTCACCAATAACTAAAATTCCACCAGCTGTATTACTTCCGTTTGTGGATGATGAATTGCTAGTATCCGAAGACAAAGAAATTATGCTATTACTTTTTTCATCAGTTGTATTACTTTTTGCAAATAGATTTGATTGAATATTATTAGTTTTTGATGCCACTGATGCTTTACTGAGATTATTTACACAACCGTTAATCTACGAATTTGTTTTATAATTAAAAAAAATTAATCAGAATTTCATGTTTATTTCATAATGCATATTTTTTGAATTAAAATTTGTATGCGAATTCATTCTACGTCATTGACAGTAGATTTTTCTTGTTAAAGATTTTCCTTTGGAAATTATTTTATACAAACCTTCAATAAATTTTTTGTGTCGTCTTGCAATTGCAGAAGTGCTGGTTCTGCTGTAGTCATTAGGGATTATTGTTTTTTGTTGAAAAAAACTCTTGATTTTTGCAATTGTATTTTCCAAATCAAAATTTTAATCTGATTAGTAATTTTTGAAATGTTTTTGAAAAATTTTTGAACTTTTTTATCTACACAAAAGGGCACTTTTATTGAATTGAAAAATGTTCAACACAAAGATTATATCGTTTAACAGGAAATTTTATACAAATCTTATTTTTAAATTTTATTTTAGTTAAAATATAACTTTTTTTTTTTTTAAATGAAAAGACCCATCTCGAAAGAAGTTTAATGTCAAAAGTTTTGCGACATTAACAAATTACAAAATGTCATTTCATAGAAGTGACATCTAAAGTGACATCTTTATTCTAATAGATTAATTATCAATTTTCGTTGATTCCTTAAAAAAGTAGTTTATACGGTTTTGTTTATACAGTCAACATATCACGTAAACACTCAACAAGTGGTTACTTGAATAATTGACAGCCACCTCCTGCAAACTCTATTCGTTTTGGTTGACACACAATCATCTCTTCCAATAATATCCTTAAGAATATTGTCCCAGAAGAATATTTTAATATTCTTTGAACCAATCAAATTTTGAATTATTTTACTAAAATAATGGATTTCTAAAAACGTTTGAGTTCTCAAATTATAAATTTTTTTTACGAAAAACAGGTAAATAGAAAATCCCATAAGAAAAAAAAAGAAAACGAAGATTTTACTTTCAGTCTCTTCTAAGTTTTTATTATAAACACTGTTTAACATATAAAGTTGTCTGAAATTATCTGATTACAGTCGGAAATGTAAAGAAATTAATGATTTTGTCGTGTACATATGTAAACTGTAAACAAATCTTACTTTTGTGGAAAGTGTCCGTCAGGCGTCAACCCATAAAATCATACCTTTTTTATTTTTCATGAACTATTATCCTATCTCAATGTCCACCAGACCAGTTTTTTTAATTTTACTATAATTTTGGCATTTTGTAGTTTTTTACTACATTTTGGCTTTCTATACTACCATACTACTGCAAACCCATTTTTACTCCTTTTTTGCATTTGGAAATTATTTGCATTCGTTTATAGAAATCATTTAAAAGTTATATGTATTGGTGCTGCTTGTACAAGTGGTTTAAAACAGAAAAAATTAAATTTGGAACCTTGTTTGAAAAACTTTACCGCGAAAGAAACGTCTAACCTTGAAATTTTATCTTTCTGAAAACTCACAGTTGTCATTTTCAATATGAAGTTTAAACGAGAAGCCTTAAAAGCGGGTACAACAAAGACTTAAGTTTATAAAAGGAAGTCTGTAATAAAAAATATATTTATTTTCATATACGAAAGCTGATTTTAAATTAATTTTAAACAAATAAGCTATTTAGGCAGTTCGGTGTTAACGATAATCCCAAATTACTCGACACTACTTTTTTTGAGACAAAACGTAATAGTAGCAGCGTAACCATGTGTTTTTTAAGCCAGCGTCTTAAATTTGTTTTTATTTTTTTTGTTCTTGTAAACGTATAATTTGACATTAGTGTCGGCAAACGTGATCCAGTCATAAATAAACAAGTTTTGTTTTCTTTTTTTGCTCACACTGTGTGTTTTTTTATAGTTCTATTCTTCAAATCCTGAGAAAGTAGTTGGTGATTAAAATAGAAAAAAAAATTAAAAATGCTGGAACTTTTAAATTTCAATTTAATTTTTGTTGCTAAGATCGTACTTATTATATTTGTAAAAGTCCATGTAGCAAACACTTGTTGTAAAGGTTGTATTGATGTAGATGAACTCACATTTGAAAAAGTAATGGTAAAATATCCATACACTTTGGTCAAATTCGATATTTCGTATCCTTATGGAGAAAAACACGAGGAATATGCTAAATTTGCTAAAAATTATGCCAAGAAAATCATTCATGATTTGTTGATTGTCTGTGTTGGAGTAAAGGATTACGGAGATAAAGATAATATGGATTTAGCTTTAAAATATTCAGTTGACAAGAACAAATTTCCTGAAATTGTGATTTTCAAAAATACCACTTTGCATGCTAGATGGCCTGGTTATTTAGATATTAAATATGAAAATATCAAAAAATTTATAAAGGAAAACACAGAACTATATATAGGTCTTGATGGATGTTTAAAAGAATTCGATGATATAGCTGCAAAATTTATGAAAACTTCGAATGTCGATGAAAAGAGTTTGATTCTATCTAATTCAAAATCGCGTTCCGACATTGTAAAGGGCACATCTAACATATATATTTTAACAATGGAAAAAATTCTCAAATTCGGAAACAATTTCATTATTGATGAGAAAGTAAGGCTTGAAAAGCTTTCAAAAACCAAAATTAGCTCCAGTAAAAAAAAAGAAATCAGTCAGAAACTTAATATACTTAAAATATTTAATAGTTATATGCCTAAAAATGATGAACTTTAATATAATATGTATTTATAAACTCAAAAAAATTAAAACTTGTAAAATTTTAATTAACATTTACAAACATTTAAAATGCTATGAATAAAAAAATTCAACAAATTAGAGAATTTCACTATCTACTAAATCTATAACTATTTCACAAAACTTTCTTTTGCACAAGTCATTCGGAGGAAAATTTAACGTTGGAGCTGCATAAGTTTCATCTGCTTTCTCTAAATATAAATCCGGAGCATCTTCAGGAGAGCACGTGCTAATTGGAACTATATCTAAAGCAATTCCAAGAGCAAATTTTCCAAACGATTTTAACTCCAATTTAAACCTATATCGAAAATCAAAAAATTATTAAAAAGCTTATGAAAGTTTAAAATGAAGTTCATATGCATGTTTAAACTAATTTTTTATATTATATATGTACATATGTACGTAAAAGATATGTACCTACTTACACTTCTAAACATTTTGATTCTGTATTTATTATATCTGGCAAAGTTGTTAATGATTTCAACGTCTTATAAAATTCATTAACATATATTTGTAATAATGATTCTAAGTGTTCATCTCTCATTTCTTTGTTTATACAGCAAAATACAATATCTGCAACATCTAAAGCAGCTGATCCATATCTTATCAGTTGAAAGTCCACAAAACTCATCTGTACCGCAATAATTAAAAAAATAAAATAAAAAGTGGGTTTAAATTTAAATTGGTCTAAATTGATAATTCAGACCATGTAAATAGATATAATATTATAAAAGCACATATATTTGGTTATGAATGCATGTATAATATTATACATGTACATGAAAAAGAAAAATTCCATAAAGCATTTAATCTATCAATTAAAATCAATTATACGTTATAAAACATAGCCAATAAAATTACCTCTAAAACTTCCCCTTTGTCATCGTAACGATAGAGAAAATTGTTTGTCCAACAGTCGCCATGACAAATTACTGACAAGAAAGATTCCTTTGATACCAATTCGATCATGTGATTAAAAAAAGTTGAACTTTCTACAAATTCTCTTAATTTTTCAATGTATTTTGAGCTCTTTGGTAACACATCCGATACCATAGCTAACGCATTTTTTGTTAATTGTGTGTAATAATCTTTATACCAATTTTCATTGTCTTTACAAAATATTTGCTCTTTTACAACGGCTTTTAATTTTTCAAATTGCTTAGGTCGTTCGAATTTGTAACTTAAACTTAATGAATGTAAAACTGCAATTTGTTTTAAAGCAAATTTACATTCACTTAATGTTAGACCGGCTTTCCGATCTGCCATTTTAAATCCTTTTGTACGTAAATCCTCTAAAACCAAATGTACTATTTTTTATTTTCTTGAAAAAACCTTTAATTGATTCAAAGTTTACCCATTATTAAAAGATCGTTTTCGGCTAAATAGTGCTGAGGCATCGCTTTAAAAACCTCTGCAGTTTTCATTCTTTGAAAATTAACGAGTTCTGGCATGATGGAAGTATAAAATCTAACTTCGTTACTAAAAACGTATAGAATTAAATAATATTATTATGTATGTATGTATATGAAAATACATATTTTATAAAAGTTTTTAGAATATTTTTTCGAAAATCAATTAATTTTGAAGATTTTGCAAATGTAAATACTACTTCTCTTCAATTTATCAACCAAATAATCTGCGGGGAAAAACCAAATGAAAAAGTAAATAACAACACAGGTACAAACATTAATTGACGAATTTTATATGTGATGCAGATGTATATTTTATAGCCGTGACGGCTGACAGTATGATTTTTGTAAAGTCAAGATGTGTATGTGCATTGTACATACACATTATGTATGAGTGCATGTGTTTCGTAGCAAATTCAATTTATAAGATGTAAAATTCAATGGAATCTATCGTTATGTGGCACATAAACTTGTGAACATGCTCTAATGTGCTGCTTACAAGGTTATGTGCTAATGCTCTAGCATTGTGTGAATTCTGAGGCTTATACATACATAACATACGTATGTATACACTAAGCTATTTTTGATGAAATCATTAATAAACTATAGCTTACCAAAAAAGTTGTACGCTGTTATATGCTTCTCTTCTAGCAATATTGTCTGGTAAACGTTTGCATATGACACTTTTTTCCCATTTGGATTTATTCCTTTTACAATATCCGTGTAAATGAACACGATACAATGTTGCCGTATAGTTATCACCACGACCAGATCCTTGCGCTTCCTAAAGGATGATATCACGGTGAAATTAAAAATATGGATATATTTGAATGTACAATTGTGTAATTCTGAAATAAAGGAAATCGTATACACATGTGTGCATATATCTATGTATGTAATTATGTTATGTATATAATATGCATATACATACACTGTATACACATATGTAGATATACGGCATCCTTCGTCAACATGCATCCATACAATCGTTAAGTTAAAAAAAAGAGGATTCCTAGGAGAGTTTTTAAAAATTATTTTTTTTTTATTTAAATCAAATGAATAAATACTTTGTAAATTTTTAAAAAATACCATGTTTTGAGGAATTTGTGTTGAATAGCAATTTTTGTTCAATAAATTGCTAATCGAGCTTTATAGATTTGGGAAAAACTGATTTTCACTATGAGATTGAAATGGTTTTTCAAAAGATTTTTTATACTTATTCATTGCCTCATTTTTACTTTGATAATTTTGCAAAAATCTTTCGTTGGACCTATTGATTTAAAGTCAAAATTAAAAGATAACTCGAACTAACTCGCTTACATTTGGTATATTTAGTTAACAATCTTATAGGCATATACTTAGGTATGTATATCAATATATGTATGTATGTATGTACATAAAATAATCCACTTTTATCTGTTTTTTAAAAATTATAAATTGTAATATACATATGTACATCTGTATTTAAGTAGTGTATGTATGTAGAAGTATGGTGAGTATTACTTACTTCTTTGTTTATTTTCGTTTTAAAAAACAAATCAATTTTCAGAAATAACCACGAGTATTTCAAAACTATCACAGTTTATAATTCATTATCCTTATAACATGTATATAAGATACAATAATATTTATTTTACATTATCTATATTTTATATGTATATATGTATCTTATGTATTAAATTAATACAAATAATAAAATACGAATAAATCATAAGTTTGTATTATCTAATTACGTACCTCAATCGACTCAATTACAACATCCTTGTTACACTTTTCGAAAATTTCTTTAAAAGTTTCCAAAGTTAAGTTTGAATTTGAATATTGCGCTGGAGCGTTTTCATTTACTCCCATATTTTTATGTGCTATATATTTTTGATGCAGTTAATAAAATTAACTTATTTTTAAAAATAATTTTTTTAATAATTATGTTAATTTAATTTACTTTTATTTATTTTAAATATTTAACTACATATATGTAAGTTTGTTTTTATTTTTAATGTGTATGTTTTACGTAACACTTTTATATCTTTTCTGTATACCGTAATGTAGTTAATTTGTAAAATTTGAGTACACATATGAAATATAGATTAGCCCCCTGTGAAACAAACCGATATATGGATGTACTTGCTCAGATGCAGTTATTGATTTTATCTTATTTCTCTTCAAAATTCTTTTTTTTATTAATGATGACATCTATTAGAATTTTCTAGAAACTTTACTGGAATATTTTAATTAAAGATTTAATTTTCAAAGTCGCTATTTAATCAAACATATTTTTTATTTTTACTTAACAACTATGAACATAAAATTAGCTAAAATACTAAAGTAATTATAATTTAAATTGAGCTTCACTTTTTTAGCATGATTATTCTTGCTTTTGAGATGGTTTGAAACATACTGAATTTTTATAAATTGTGAATCCAATTTATGAAGAGTTTTCCAAGATGTATAAGTATTCTATCAATAAAAGTCTAATCATAATTGAAGTTGTACAAAACTATGTACAACTACATATATACATAAAAACAATGTAATCATATAAATCCAATGCTAAGTATATTTTATATGTTTACAGTTATGAGTAAATAGTGAATGGCAATTTATTTTTTGTCTTATAAAAATTATGTACATATCTACTTACTTATATTATTAAAACTAAATAAAACTCTCATTATTAAAAAATGTATTTAAAAATTCAATACCTAACAAGAAAAACGTTTAAATCTGCTATTTGTATTTATTAAAAGAGTACAATAAATTTACTTTTTTTATATAATTTATAATTAAAAATACATCAGCAAAAAAATTTATTCACTTATTTTAATTTATCTAGATAGACTAATTGTCTATCGCCCTAGATAAGACAATTGCATAAATTTGCACATACAAATGTACATACTATGACTTTTTGAAAAACGATATAACTCCAAAATTATAAAATTTTACTTTTTAATCCAAAATTACTTAAAATTTTTGGCTCTTTAAAATGCAAAGAAAAAATTTTAAAATTTTATTTATTTTCCAAGAAAATAATTTTGAAAAACAATAAAACTCCAAATAATTGCAGACAAAAACCTATATCTTCATTTACATATGAATATCATTATGAAAGATACTTACCACCATCATACAAATATCACCATATATTATCTTGAAGATACTTACCATCATCCGAATTGTGAAGACACATAAATAAACATAAATAAACATATATGTATGTATAAATTAAAATAACAATTAAGAAACTAGCAACTGAAATCTCTATACTGCTATAGTATTGAAAGAGTTGGCATTAATTTCATGAAAAAGTTACTATATCAGAAGCATTGAAAGTTGCAGAGATGCTTATGGTACTTAAGCGGAAGAAGCCCGTAAATAACAGGAAGCCTTACCGACCGATATCCCTCATGTTGTACCATTTGCAAACGGGGCCTAGTATCTAGGAATGACCTTAGATATCGGACTACGATGGAAAGAGCATGTGAAAAAGAAAAAAAATCGAATTAAACATCACAATTATAAAGCTAAATTGGCTGCTGGGCAGACATCTAGAAATTACTCTACACAATGAATTGTTAATATACAAGCAGGTCGAGAAGCCGATATGGATGTATGGGATACAACTATGGGGTTGTTGTAATTATCTGCACATACTCACTTTTCTCTGTAAAATTTTTTTAGTTCAATTCCTATAACAAAAGATAAAGCAAAAATACTTTCAAATGCTTATACTGTCCATTTTTCAAAATGCAGCTATGCTGTTCTTATAAAACACCATATATGTATGCTGTTCTTATAAGACAATTGTATGTGTGTATGCACATGTGTCCATACATACGTTAAACACATTCATATGCACATATTTTAAAAAATTTTCAAAAATTTAAAAAAATCAATAATAAAATGATAAAATTAAAAGGATGGGAGAAGAAGTTTAACTCTGCAGTTCTCGAAGACAATTCAAAACCTGCCGGCTGCTGAAACTGTATTATAAATAGATTGTATGTGCATAAATTTTTATAGATTTTTTAAGACTTTTCTCTCCCCAAGTTTCCTACGTACAAATGCTGCAACGTAATGCTGCAAATTTTTAAAACATACGGCTTAAAAGGGAGTTTTTTCAATAAATTTAAAATCTAATAAATCTGAACTTTTTATGTTGGTAGGCAAATTAGAACAAAAGTTGTTTTCCTGATCGCAATGTAAGACGACAAAAAGTATAAATTGAGTCATTAAGCTCCATTTTGTTATACTTAGTAGGAAAAAAATTTATATGTAAAAATGTAGAGAACTCGTAAAGTTGGACTAACTGCTTGATGCACCTTATACGCGCATGTTATAAGTATGTTAAAAAAATTAATATTGTTCTTAATTTGTCTAAAAAAAAGCTTATTTAAACTTAGGTAATTTCAGCGCGGATTTTTCACAGCTATGTATGTATTTTTCTATGTATGCCTATCACTGTATGCTATATGTATAAGAAATTACTCCCATAATAACATCATGGATATATGATAAACATACTAGGGAATTAAATTCAGTATACTTCTGGCGCAGCAATGAACTTTTTAATAAAAATGACTCAATCAGTGAGATCAACCAGTGAGAAAAATAAAACAGAATTTTTGGATTTCTTTGTTAATAAATATATATGCTTATGTTTATATTTATGTATATATGTATATGTCTTTAAAGAAATGATTCATATGAGTATGTTATATGAATGTAAGATGAGAAACTGTAAAAGTTAACTTTATAGTACAATATATTAATTAATATTTTATGCATTATACAAGCGTTTTTTGTATGTACGTACATATGTATATTATTATAACATAACAAACAATATGTTGTAGCAGTACATTAATTATGTATGTTTTATATTTTTTAGTCATTACAGGTTAATCCTTAAATTAAATATAGTAATATATTAATTCAAATGTTCCTTATATCTTAACAAGGTTTAAATTTGTAAAGCTTTCAAATACTCTTCTTTATTTTTTAATATAACAATATTATATTAATACTAAACAAAGCTTCAATTTTGTTGAATATTATTAGCATCATTATTTGCAGTAACAATGTTCATGTTAGCAAGCTCTTTTGCGTATGGCAAAGGGCGTCTTGGCCAAGTTTTTATAGTTAACAACTTTCTTGCTTCTTCCAAATGTTGGCGAAGTTCACGAATTGTTGGATAAATATGTTGTTCAATGTATTCAGATATAGTGTACTAAAATCCAAAATAAAAAGATTTTAAAGTTTATTATGTGTATACATAAATATAATTATTTTACTTTATGTAAAAACTTGTTTTTAAGGAAAAAACAAAATTTTTTAGTCAATACGAGAATAATATTTAGAGATTGCATTTAAAATTTAAAGTAAACAATAAATAGTTTTTTTTCTGTTTAAGAATAAGCTACACTCTAAACCAGACATGTGAAACACGCGTATTACATACAAATATTGATTTAGATCAGTAAGAAAGTATTGAAAATAGATAGAAGGTTCTGCGGGAGTTTGTCACATATCCAAAAACCAAATTTTCCATGTGGAAAGCGACTGTTCCATAAATCAAATACTTATATATTTGAACCAGTTTCATTTTCTATATTTGTAAACAGTAGACCAGTTTGGTAAATTTAAAATTTTCCGAATATAATATATTCTAATTAGAATAAATTATTAAAAATCAAATTTGAATTTGATTTTTAGGTTTTAATAGATGTCAAAATGAATTTAACCTAGTTACTTTTCCATTTTATGTTGATATTGCAACACTTGAAATTTGCAATTGAAATCAAAATGCTGTGCGATTCTGTATTAAAACAAATACTTAGAAAAGTAGAAATTACTAAATTTTATAATTATTTACCTATAAGTCAATTTTCCAATATTTCAATTACTATTGGATATATTCAATTACTGCTGATAAAAAAATGTTTTTAGTCATGTTCGGAAGCACATATTTTTGTGAACAATTGTTTCGATATTAAAAAATAATAAAACGGGTGATAGATCAAGATCAACATATTCGGTCAATATTAAAAATTACAACTGCCAATTAAATTCAGCCAAATTTCGAAGATTTAGTAACAGAAAAACGTAGCTAAATTTCTTCAAAAAAATCATTTTATATTTTTTTGTATGACTCTATTATTTCTTTTATATTACTTTCTATGTTGATATTAAAAATTTAAATTTCAGTATAATTTAGTACAAGTAGTTTAAGTTTTTTTATTGTGCGATCCCGTGATGATAAATGACGCTCTATATGGATCAACCTCCCAATAATAGATATGACGGATAGTCTAATAACTCCTTCGTCTTCTTTCTTAGCATTACAGCCCTGTGTGGGCCAAAGCTTCCTCTCCTTACTTCTTCCATCTCTTACAATCTAGCGCTAACGTATTGTAGTTAGTCACTTCCATTTTTCTTTCTGAAAATATTTTCTTTATTATATTTTCCCTTGGCATTCGAATAACGTGGCCCTTCTTTTTGCGACTTCAGGAACCGAATGATGTTTTTATATTGCATTAAATCCTCTAATTCGATACTGAACCTGATTCTGTATACGGTCCGTTTCTGTATTCTGAACCTGATTCTGTATATGATATACGGTCCGTTCACCTTAGTGGTCCATATATTCTCCCTAATATTTTCATTTCGAATATTAAGAGCAGATTGCATTCGGAAGCCTTTAAATTTCATACCTCACTTCGTTAGATAAGTACAGGTTTAATTAATGTCTTGTAAATCTTAAGCTTTGTGGACCTCGTCAGTATTCTTCACTTCAATAATTAAATATGGGCAAAATAACATGTATTAGCCGCATTGATGCGTTCTTTAATTGCTACGGCACAGTCGTTTATATTTAAAAAGCAAACGCCCAAATATTCTCACCGTTCTACTTTTGACAAAATATTTAGTTTTTGGCTCATTTATTTCTAGGCAAATGTTTGCAGTGGTTTCAACTAATTTAATGAAAGTTTCTTTTACATGTACAATATTACGCGCTAGTATTATGATATCATCCACATAGAAACATATCTGTATCGTCTTTATGAAAATTGCACCTCCAGTGTCAATTCCTCTAATCGCATAATGTAGCATTAAGTTAAAAATAAGTTTGGACACCAGATTCTGTTCCAAACGCGCTGGCTAACTTGCCTTAAATCAATACCCTCGCAGTGTTGTTTTTCAGTGTTACGGCAATAACTCGTATCGGTTTATCTGGTATTCCGAGTCTCTGCATCACTGTAAATATTTTCGCTCTGTCGACTTTATCAAAGTCCTGTTTAAAATCAAAAACTAGGGAGAAGAAATAGGCAGACTAATAACTTGCAACGTTGGAAAATTGTTTTATTAGAAAATTTTTCCCCATTGAAAATTGGACCGCATAATGTTTATTATATGCGACAAAAAATGTTAACAATGAGACTAGAAACATACATAATTATTATGTACTTTTAGTAAAAATTTTATACTTACTTCATCGTATATTTCAGCCATGACTGTTTGACTTTCTTTAGCCATATTTACCAATTGATCAATAAAGTTTTGGTTGTTATTTGTTAGCTCTTGAACTCTTAAAGGTGAGCTAAAATTATGTCGTATATTGTATTCTGACATCCAAGCACTTTTTCTCCTGACATGTTGTAAATAGGCATCAATTTCAGTTAATTTTTCACTTAAACGTAACATAAATTTATAGGTTGAGCTTCCTGGGTATGAACAGGAAGAATAAAGCTGATGTTTATGCTTTGAACCAGCCTGTAGTTCTAACCAAGCATGACCAGAACGTCTTAAAATAGACAAAAATTTAAAGAATTTATGCTACAGTGAGCTTAACTATTTTTACCGATAATCGGGACGATTGGCACAATCTAATACATTCATAATTTCATTATCCTTTGCATCAGTTGCAAAATACCCTTTAGACGTAGCTGACAAACAAGTCAAGAGACTTGGTAAACCAGTTGGTAATAGTTCACATAATACAGCGAAATGATCGTATCTTTGCCAACCTGTTAGCGTAATTCCTCGAAAACCTTTTGAAAATCTTTCACCTTCCTTTGCAATAACAGCCAACCATCTCAAATTATTTTCTAAATGTCGTTGTATTGGGGGAATCATTAAATTTTCACCGAAAGCACCTTTAAATGCTGATGCAGCCCAAGCTGTTGGGAATATTTTAGAATAAATATCCCACAATTGTGGCGGAATGTAATGATATAAATCATTAACATAAACCCAAATCATGGGTTCTACATATAAACCAATTTGTGAATGTTGCATTTCACTTAAAGTTATATCACGAAGCATATCATCCCAAATAACTGGTACTAAAGCTGGCCACTTTGTTTTTATAAAACTTCCAAGTGATGTAATATGAGATAAAAATAATTCATTTCTAGATTTAAGACGGCATTTATCACATTCGGCCATTCTAAAGACTTCATCACATCCAATATGAATATGTGTAAAATATTGAGGCGTTGACAAACGCTGGCGACGTGGTGATGATACACCACCATTTTCGTCATTGTTATTATGTGATATTGTTGTGTTTACATTGTTTTTAAAATTTGTGTTTATATTTAAATTTGTATTTGAAGATGCAGCCACTGTAGAAGGTGACAATAATAAACTGCTGCGGTTACCACTCAAACTAGAATTTCGATTTAAATCCATATGGAATTCTACAATTTGCGTTATCATGTCTTCTAAGAATCTTAAAGATTGTGTGTTGCTAGGACAAATCGATTGTGGACTTTCAACAATTTCACGCATTTGCTCAAACCCATCTAATTTTAGTGCGTATTCCAAATGACCAAAAGTCTGTACTAATGGCATCACAGATAATCCATTCTGTATGACAGATTCAAGGAAATCCTATGAAAATAAAAAAATTGTTATTAAAGTTGAAGTCCACAAAGTTCTTACTAACCTTTAGTTCCTCAGGTTTATAAGCATTTTTAGCAGCTAACGATTGCAAAGATCCAGTGTACGGAAACATATCTTCATATTCAATCAGCAGACCGGTAGCACCAATAGTTTTCAAAATTGGGAGCAAACGTTTCAAAAATGAAAGCTAATTAAAAATAAGAGAAGAGTAAATTGAAACATTAATTGTTGAACAGTGAAGCTAGATTACCTTTGGTGGAGCACCTTTTAAATCAAGGTGTATTAACCTTTCATGTGGCGGTCTTGGTCCACCTGGGCCTAGACCCGGAATAATCGGAACTCCCATTCTTTGTAGTTCACGTTCGTATTGCCCTTGACGTTCAGCTGATGTCAAAATTTGGTCATAATTAATATCTACATCGTCAGGTTGTTCAGCAGGTTGATTAATTTTCTGTTGATCTTGCAATATACGCAAATGCTCTTCTTGATACGGGTTGTTTTCCATGATTGGTGCAACTGGAGATGGAGTTTTCGTTTGATCTAAATTTACTAAATCTACCCCTAAACATGAACGATAAAGTAAACGAATTATATTTCATGCATGTTAATATGTTACCTCCAAAATTTTGTTTTCTTTGATAACGTAGAATTTGATTAGCTTGAGATATAAGACGCTGCAAAAAAAATTCTTGTTTTGTTTGCGTTGGATTATAATCCTTTATAATAAAGAATCTTGTAAATAAAATGATGGTTTTAAATAAACAAAACTATGCAGTGTGCACTTACTTTAATTAATATAAATTTTTCACCAATACTAGAATTGGCAGTATTATAAATAGCCCAAGACCAAAGAGCTAATAAAATTAATGCGGATGACAACAGAATAATTGAAAGTTTTCTTCGCCACAGCAATACTAATACACTGGGGTGTATCTAAAAAATTTAACACAAAAAATTTAATTAATCACTTAATGAAATTTTCAAAAAGATTAGTCAAGTATAAAAAATTATCTAATAACAAGTATACGTAAACTAATATATGTATTATATTTCCAATCCTTGCAAAGTTAGTTAAGTAGAAAAAAGGACGCTTTTCTAACTGTGCGAACGTATGTTCGAAGGGTATACTAAATTTGCTTTACCGTCTGTAACGCTACGAAATAATGTTCTAAGATATATAATCAAGTATATGTTTTTGATAAATGTCGAATTCTGAGTCGATTAAACAATGTCTGTCCGTCCGTCTCAACGATAACTCAAAAACTAATTGAGCTAAGTTTACCAAATTTGCACAAATGATTTATTATAGTAAATGCCAGAGCCCTATTTAAACTAAATATGATCAAGAAACTGATACGGAAAGCTGCCATACAATTTCCAAATTTATTTGGCTATATCTCAGAAATTATAGAAGCTATAATATTGAAATTTCGCAGAAGCGATTTCGCATGAGTAGGGCGATTGTGTTTGATAAAAGTCATTCAAAGTACTTGGCTCCTTCTGGTAGCTGCCATACAACTTGAAAAGTTATTTGGCTATATCCTAAAAATTGTTCAACCTCCAGTACTGAATTATTTCAAAAACAAATAAGGTAAAATGGCAGCTGTATTTGTTAAAAGTTCTTGAGATCTCATGAGCATTTGTGATAGCTGCCCTTCCAAAAGTTATTTTTGGAAGGGCAGCTGTCAAATCAGTTGAAATTTCTCGACTGCTTGTGGAAGCTGCCATATAACCTCATAAGCTGTTTGTTTTATTTAGTTCTTTAATAGCTTAGAAATTATTAAAGCTACAAAGCTGAAATTTTGTAAAACTCCTTTAGACTGTTTGAGTTTATACAGTAACTATCATATATGTATTAAATAGCACTATACATAAAAAGCAAGAGATTGTGTGAAATTATATGTGAATTATCTTCGACATTTAAAACCATTCGTATGAATCAGAAAGTTAATATTTTGCGTTGCCACATTTGCTTTTTCTTTTCACTAAGGCGAATAAACTGAGAACAATATTATATCGTTCAATTGCCAGATAATTTATACACGAATATGTAAAAACAAATTACTGGAAATAAAAGAGATATCTACATGATATGTGTCTGTAAGTAGTATATGCTTACATATTAACGATGTTTAACGACTACATTCTGCATGATCTTATTCTAATATTAATGGTTTTAAGTGTTTATTTAGATTTTTTATGACAGGCATCTTAGCTGAAAGCTCCTATTCTGGCTTTCTCTGGTAAGATTTTTGCATTCTTGAATAATAAACGCTACTTTAACCTAAAGTATCTAATAGGTTGGACGTGACAACAAAAGATTTTTTTTTTGACATTTTTCCCTTTATTTCATTTTATGGCTGCACGTACATACACCTATGACATGTTCAAAATTAACACTGAAATTGTAATGTTTGTAATCGTGTTTCATGAAATGACTAATCGTTAAAATATTACATTTTTAATGGAGGGGATTTTTGATAATGCATTTCTAATTTAGAACTGAATACAATTAAAATCGAAATATGAATCTGCAAAAATACCAAAGTTGGTTTTTGTAGAAAAAAAGGATTCAGCAGAAAAATTAGGAAAGCAAACTTCCTCTAATTTCTTAATAGTATCAGTGTGCAACTGTAGTTTTCACATAGATTGAAATAACAACTAGGCAAGATCTTTCTATTAACATGATAACGTAGTTTAATCAGTTGTTCTGCACCTTTACGCAGAGACAAATCTTGTTCCATTCATGCCACTATATACTTATGCACAATTACATTAGAAAAATATAGTAATTTATCGTATGGAAATTTAATCAAACTTCATTTCATTTCATCGGTATTTTTGTCCTTTTTGAAGTTTTTCTTTTAAACACCTACATAACTCTCTCAAAAGGCAGTTAAGCTTTAGTTCCAGCTTTAAAATTGTAATTTAAACAATTAACTAATTTCGGTTACTTTTGATTAACAAAGCGTTATAAAATTTTTGGATTAAGCTTTCGGATATGGTTCAAAGACGGTATAAAAACTTTTTCCTTTACATTATTACATTAGCGAACAAAAACTTATGGAGATATTTTATAGCACTTCTAATAAACCATTATATATACATACATATTATTTATTTAAAAAGATTACATTTAAAGACAATAATATTTTTGGGCAAATAAATTATGGTGGAATTTATAGTGCATCGTTAGATTTACCCAAATTTGATTTTTGAACAGTATAAAGGTAAATTTATACATAAGGCTAACTTTGAGAAAAAAAATTTGAAGATATAGAGGGTGTTTCGCATAAGGTCGCAAATAATTTCATAGATAATTCTTTCATCAGTTTCCAGCAAAAAATGTATGGGGGTACAGATATGCCCTTTTTTGAGCTACAGCCTGTTGAAAAAAAAGATATTAGATTTTTTCTGCGCATTAACAAATGCTTGTAACTTCGCAATCATGCAACAGAGTAACCATCCGAGGCTGATTTCACAGGCGATTGATTGCTATTTATTTTTGGTTTTATAATTAATTTTATTTGGGTAATTCTCGAGATAAAGTTCGTCAAAGTCAGAATTTTTGTGAGCGCTAGAATGAGATCTAAAAGCTTACCCATAGAAAATTTTCCTCTATCTCTCATAGTTTTGCCTTTAAAAATCAAAAACCTCACTTTTATATCCATAACATTTAATGTTTTGACTTAAAATCAACATCCACAACTTTTAGTATCTAAATCCTCAACTAAATGAAAAAAGCTCGTCATTGCTTTCGGCTTACTACACTTCTTCTTATCGACATTAAGTATTATGTGTATATAGACATACGTTATCTTTCAAATTTTTTTCTCTGTTCTTATATTATGTATGTAGTGAACATTATTGTGACTAAAATAATATCGGAAATCATGTTCTCGTAGCACACCAACGAATACCGTTATCTATGCTAAATTTTTCCTCCTTCTCATTAATTAGTGCAACAGTGTAGTGTGAAGCGCCACTAGGTATAGTGATTGTAAATGATTACAACTTGAAATCGAGTTAAAAGCAAGTGTGTTCTAAATTATAATAACATAAAATTATAACACAAAAAAGTGTTAAGTAATTATACAAAAATTTTTACGTTAAGTGATACGTTAATATCTAATTCTCATCACTCAGTAAAGTCGTTTCAAACCTTAATCTAAATTTTTTTTTGTTTAAAATTATTAACGTTAATCATTTGAAATTTACCCCTTGTAAAATTAAACTTTCTTCCTCTACAAAATTGTTTATTAGTTTTTCTAAACAATTTCCGAGTTGTAAAAGTTTTTGAAAATTGCTTTTTTAACAAATTTCAATTACTTAATGCTTTTGCCCTAAATTTAGGGAAAAGTTTTTAGTTTTTTTTTATCCGCCATTAAGTTTGCTATTTTTTAAATTAGCTACAGGTTTAATCCGTATTATTTGATGTTGTAATTGATGACGGATATTTCTTTTGAAATTATATTTTTAATTTCATTAGTTTAATTTTATTTTTACCACATTTCAAATTTTCACATTATTATTTTTATATCAACATGGCTACTGAGGAAAACAGTGCACAACGCAGATACTTCATCTGGGCTTGACGAATGCTTTCATTTTTCAGAATGCAAAATTATTTTGAAGACCTACTTATTGCAAGAACAAAGTAAATCTGAATCTCCTTTGAAAAAATAAAGGCCTATTATCTATAACAAATCCATTATGAGAATCAAGATCAAAAATATTAGGTGGTTTCAACCCAAGATTTATCTATTAGACTTATATCCGGCCAATTTTGCTCACTTTCTGCACCGATTTACGTACAGAAAAATATAAATCTACGTGAAATTTTAAGTCTCTAGCTCTTTGTGCTCTGAAATGAATGCTTCAACAATCGACAAAATGATGAGCAGGCATCGGTTAAGATCGCCTGAGAATTTGATTCTATGTCAGAATACATGTACTTTATGAGGTCGCAAAAGTTTTCAATATAATATTTTTAGATAATACATGACAAATTGAATATACCAGTATATATAATATACAAGTTGGTATAAAAACGTAAATTCACAGTCTTTTTATAATTTAGTTTTGTTTAATTTAACAAAATTTTTGCTAGCACTGAAAAAGTTTTTACTTTGTATTTGTATGTATACAATTGACTCTTGGATATCGCATTGTACGCCATATAATGTTATCATAATTTGGTATGTACATATTTTATATTTATGCATTCTCTGTTTTTATATAACATACGAGTATTAACATACAAATCAAAGTGGCCTACTTTGTTAAAAATGCGAAAATCGCAAATTTACGTAAATTGATTTACGATTCGCAAATGATTTGGTACTATGTAACAAAAACACATGGCAAAAACTTTAAACTGGCTGCATTTTCTAAAATTTCTTAAAATGCAAGGTTTTTTAATTTGATAAACCAAAGTTTATGTAACACATCCATTGTTTAGTTTTATTTTTTCAAAAACTTAGACTTTCGCAATAAGATTCGTAAACAAAATGGCTAGTGCGATATTCAATTTACATAATGTCGAATTTTAAAAAGCGAGAATTGTTTAGCGAGTGTAGCACTACATATGTATAGGTCACAAGAACTCTCGTTTTACAAAACATATGCTCAAGTTAACAAGGGTTATTCTCGCTATTAACAAAAATACAAAAAAAAATATTTTACGTTTTGATGTTATTGTACGAATTCTTAAAATATTTACCTTCATTCTTCTTATATACGCCATTAACAAGAAAAAAATCCTTTACAGTTTGTTACTTTTTTGTTAAGTTTGTGTTGTGATTTATATATATATGTATGTATTATGCGATTATTTTCTTAAACATAGTATTTTTACCAATTAACTTTAATTTTGAAATCATAATTATAATATGTACCTAAATTCAGTCACTTTTAAATTAATTACCAAAAAGAAGTAAACTCTTGCAAAAATTGCAAAAAAATATTTAGGTTACATTTAATTACAAAATTCAAGTAACTTTATAATTGCAATATTTTCTTAAATAAATAGTTTCAGTGTATATGATAGAAATTATTAAGATAATTCAAGCTTAGGTTTAATATTTACTAAAAATTTTAGAACTTTTCTTTTATGATTTTTAAATATTTCAGAAATATTTAACAATAATAAATTATTCTTGGTACCACTGGTAATGATTCCCCATCATTATGCATTTCCACATGTTTTAATTATAAAGGATTAGCAACTTAGTTAGTTTTTTAATATTAATGAAGTTTCAGAAAAGGAGCCTTGAAAAAGTTTATACATTTTAGTATAGTAATGACATGTATGTTAATGACAGGTTTTTATAAAACCTTAATTGTGTTTTATGAAAATTTTACTTGAAGTAAGATTATGAATTACAAGTTAAAAAACAAAAGAAAATTGTCTGCGAAATACAATCAGACAAAACATGGGGCATATATGATTGTATTTAGTACAACATATAGCGTAATAAGATCGTAAAAGCAAAAACTAGATCATATGTGTATATGTATGTTTACTTTTTATTTTCAATAGACTTTGACACTATCAGCATAAGAGAAACGCTCTGTGAACACACATATGCTGATATAAATATATTACTTCGGATTGGGAAAATTTTAAAGATTATGAAAATTCTCATGTGAATTCTTTTACTCTTTATACATACTTTTATAGTTTTGAAATTTTTTAGTTTGAATATATTAGAATTGTAGTTTAAATTTATTTTATCTTGTGCATACAAGATTCTTTTTAACCCTGTATTTTTTAAGGATTGCATTTTTTGTTGTACGTACATATGTACACACATGCATCACTTTTAATTAATTATTGTGTCAGAATTTTATTTCGAATAACCAAATATATATATTCATATTTATGTAAGCATGTAGATACCAAAGTATATCTACTAACAAGTAGTTCGACTCTCCGTTTACATCACACTAATGCAATCACTCACCAATATTTGTATACAAAAAATTCCATTAATTAAAAGAGTTAAGCTGTATACTTTCTTATTTTCATTTTTATACACATAAGAATTTTTGGGAGAGGGAAAGAGTACGCAATAGATGTCAACCTGTTTTTTTATAATGTAATTTTGAAAGGCGACACTTTATTATTTGTTCCTATATAAATTATAGGGAAAAATATTAAGAATTTTAAAAGCGACACAATAATTTCTGTAATTCATTCCAGTACAAGGTGGCAAAAAATGTGTATTATATTATAAAAGCGAAGAAGAAAAAAAGTGTTTAAAAAAATTATTATAATTTATATAACATAATTTTTACAAATAATAAAAATAAAGTTTGAAAAGACGTACAATAGTAAAAAAAAATTTAAATAGTTGTGAAAAAAAAATTTTTTTTTATAAAAATGGGTAAACATTATTTGAAGTGTTTGGGATGAAAAAAAGCCGACACGAAAATTTCATTTGTTGGCAAAAGATGTGAAGAGGTAAATATGTACTTTTGAAAATATTTTAAATATTTAGTGTTAGGCATTTGTAATTAATAAATAAAATAAATAAATTATCTTTAAATTTTTTATTTTTATTTCAATCTTAATAAATTTAGAACATATTTGCCATGAATAATATATTTCCCGGTAATAATTATATTTCATAAAGTAATCAGTACCTTTCTTTCTTTATAAATTACTTTATTTCTATGTCACTACCTGATACTGAAATTTTAAACTCTTTTGCTTTCATACATTCGAAAAAATGGAATATTTTAAGAATTTGGAAGCAAGATGCAAACGAAAACTAACGGAATGGAACGAGTCGAATTACTTATTAGTAGATATACTTTGGTAGATACGTATCTACCCTTAGTTGAATGAAGAAAATGAAATTACAGAGAAGTTTACACATTGATTTAATAAATAATTTGTTATATAGGTATATATATATATATATATATAAGTATACATATGTGTGTGTATGTATAATACAATAATTATGTAACATGCATTTTGTATTTGTATAGAGTATGTGGTGAAATGGCTCTGAAATAATTTACATATTTTATCCTTGTTGACACAAAAATCTTCTTTTTAATAAATTTACTTATATTTTTTATGTATTTGCACTTCAATTCACATTTTCAAATCAAAATCTATTTCATTAAATTAATTTGATTTTATTTGCTATAGTGTTCTACAATTCTAGAATAATCTAAAGAACTAGCAAATTAATTTAAAATAATTATAATATTAGCAAATAATTTAAAATATTATATTATAAATATTTATTGGTTTTCTTCATTTTTTATTAAATTTCTCATTCACTATTAAAGATGGCTAATTCACGTTTTGTTTTTTCAAAATGACAACAAAAAACATGAAAAAAGCGTACATAGATAGGTACATAATAATGGAAAAACATAATATTAAATTAAAATAGACAAAGTGATCATTTCTTTTTAAAAAAATAAAAACACATTTTTATTGATTTCGATTAAATTAAAACAACAAATTTGTTTTTTTTACTTTTAAATATTTTTAACAAAGTGAAACAAAAAATGAGCGAAAATGCTGTAAATAATAGCAATAAAAATGAGAAACGGAAAAAAATCCGTCCTTTTTAATATTAAATAACACTTTCGTTTCGAGCAAGGATTCTAAACCGAATAACTTTATTAACGAAGAAAAAAGACACTGCGGCATAGCTATTCGTTTAGAAATTTTCATGTTTCTGCATATTAACATATAAGTACCTTCATACAAATATATGTTGATATTTACATAAATATGTATAAACATATTTTGGAATGTATCCATGTATCTGAATTTGTATGAGTAAAATTTTAATTTCTTGTACATCTTTTCTTTCTTTTACATCTTTTTTATTTACTTATTTTTTTATGAGAAAAGTATAGTCATGGGAATATTGTCGTCATTTAAAGGAAAATATACCAATAAAAAAAAGCAATAACTATAAGATAAAAATGAAAAAATTACAAAATAAGAAAACCACCAAAAACTTCAACAACAAAATAACGCAGCAGCAGCAACAACAGTAATGAGGGAGCAAAAGGATTTTTGTATAACAATCAGACAGTAGCATAATAATTGTACGAGTAAGGAGAAATGTTTTATAGAAAAAGTATTTTACATTTACTTTGAAATATTAATATAAGCAGATAAAGGAGGCAATTGTCTCTTTTAAAAATTTGTTTTAGAAACGCTATTTTTCATTTGCAACTAAAATGGATGATCTAGATAGTGAACGAAATAAGCATCATGATTTTAAAATTTGATTTTCTTTACCAGATTTTTATGTATAACCTCAGATCTTTTAATTTATTTGAAATTAAAATCCACAAATCTTTGATATATAAGTCAGTGTTTAATCATAATTAAAATTAAACTGCAGTGACAAAATTTGATAAAAACCGAAGTCTAATTAATATAAGTATACACTTTTCACATTTAAAAAAAAGTTCCACTCCATACGACATAAAATATTGTAATTAAACTGTGAACTGTGCAAAACTGTATATCTTAACTTGGTTAAATATGTCCAGTGAACAACTTGATAGTTTTTACACAGGCCTGGTATCATTTATAATTTAAATATAATAGCGTCAATTAAATAAGACTTTATGACTTAATATTTAACTTAAAAAGTAAATAACATGAAAATGTTTTTAACAAAGTGCAGTAATAATTGACTACTTTTTAAAGTTATTTAAAAAATGCTGCAAAAGATTCATATTCACATTCATTTTCACATATTCACGTTGTTCACAAAACATAATTATCAATTTGATTTAAACATAATGTAAAATATTTCTTTATTTTGTTTCTTAATTTTTTTAAGACCGTATTTGCAAATATGAAAAAAATTACATTTTTTTTGTATTTTAATAATCACAATAGTAATATCAAATAAATGTATAAGATAACAGAAAAAACGTCTTTATATACATAATTGTTAAGAATGTTACAATGGCACCAATAACCCTATACATTATTTGTATTATTATCTGTAACTGTAAAATATATTCTAACAATATGTGATATTACTCGTAGAACATTCAAGTTTTTTCATTAAATACTTTGTAATATTGATACTCGTATATGTATATTTCGAATTCAAAATTCAATTCAAATTTGTACAATGAAAATATTATGGTATACTTCTTAATTATTATACTATAAACGTTTGAACATATATTACATTTAAAACACTGTTAGAAGATTTTGCTTATAGTAAATAAATATTAACTGAACATAAAGTATAAGTGAAAAACTCAAATACCTATTTGGATAAAAAACATTTGGTATTATTATGATATATTAATATGTTTAAAGAGTCAATGTACAAAATTAAAAAACTTTTATAGAGCATGTGCAATTATATGTATAGCATCTTGTATTAATATATTGAGCGAGAATTTTTGTACTATTGTTATAATCAGCTAAATAATGCTTACATATATGCTCTTAAACTACTGTTCAAATATGGTATAATTCATATAGTTATATACGTACAGTATGCGATATAAACTATAAATTATATACTTAACACATAGTTTTTATACATACTATTTATGTATGTACATATAACTACAATAAATTCTGCAATGTCTAATTTTCTCAGCCAATAATATTTAATCTTATCTAGAGATAATCTGTAATAATATATACATAATATATACATACACGAAATTCCAGGGTTTTAGTTATGTCGTTTCAACTAACAGACATTACGATAATTTTAAGACTAGGTGTAGAGATCTGTCTGAGATAAAACTTGAAAAAACTTTGAAAACAGAAACAATGACGAAATTTCTCGCAAAACGAAAAAAATTCTCGTTTAAAAAAAAATAAAGCAGACGGAAAAAAGCTTTTAAAAACTTTATAAATATGTGATAAACACCAAATTTCAAAAGTATTTATCAAACATAAACAAATATTTTTTGATTATACTAAAACCCGAAAATTTTGATTTTGGATTATAAAAGTGTGAAATTTTTGGTTATTTTATTTTATTTTTATATTGTTGATGAATTTTTTTTTTTTCAAAGTTAAAACCTTCTGACATAACCAAGGAAAACATATGTTTCGACATAAAAGTTTTTAAAACACTAAATTTTACTATACAAAATTTGAAAAAACTTTAAATGTCATCATTTTCCGTGACTTCAATAATGCGCTTACGGCGTAAACTTTACAAAGTATCATATTCCAAAAAGTTTAGTAAAATTCTTGACATTGTACACTTTTCCTAAATGCGTTCTATACGTAGTGGATACGTAAAATAAAAGTAAATTGAGTAACGAAAATATCGAGCACGCTTTTCTTATACATGTCATGTAAAAGTTGCCAGAAATAATCAATTTAATAAACTAGTATATATTTTCAGCACAGAATATATTAGTATATATTAATATTTGCACAGAACTTTAAATTGAAATTTTCAAACGAACGTCAAAGTATGTATTAATACTCGTATTGTAAAAATTATATTCCAAAATGTTTGGAAAGCTTTAGCAATTTTAAAGGTATTGTAAAGGTCATTGTAAAGGTATTGAAAGCTCTGAGGGGGTACTACAATCGTATTAATGCCGTACTTAAACTTTTATAAAGCAATATTGAAGTCGCTGGATATATACATATTGATATATACATATATTGATATACACTACATCAAAAAATTGTACATACAGAAAACATTTTTTTTGAAAAATTGATTTTTTTTTTTAACAAAAAAAGAAATTTTTTATCTTCAATTCATATATTTATTCAGAAAATAAATAAGAAAACTTAAAAATTATTAAAGTAAATTTGAAAAAATTGTAACATTTTTAAATTTTTTAAAATTTAATAATTCACGTCAATTTCAATTAGTTAATGACAAAGGATTTCAATCAACTTTAGGTTGCAGTTTTGATTATTTATCCAAGTTAATCCAAATTATGATTATTTTTTTTAATTATTTAACCATGTTATCTTTCGGACTTTTTAGAAACTCTAAAGAAATGAGCACATATATACAAGTTAACACATGCACCTATAGTATTCAATATTTTATTTTCCAAATTTGATTAGGTTGCAATATTTTTGTTATTCAATTTAGCATACGATAAATTTGTTACTTAATATTTGAAATTGCTTAATATGCAATATTTTTATTATAAAAATCTTGTAATTATTAAAGAAAAATCAGAATAAAAATAACATTAAACCTTAAACGTTCTTTTTTATTCAAACACTGAATCAAGCCGTTATTATTTCTAAGGTGAAATAATAACGGCTTGATTCAGCCTTAGACACAATGCAATTATGAATAAGGACAAGGAACTATTAACTTACATGTGTACGTAAATGCCTATGTACCTACCTGGCTATTATAAGTACCTAGCGGAAAATTTTAACATGAGACAATGCATGCAGAAGCTTTCCTAGGAAGGTGAGAAGCGATGACCTTACGTAGTACATCTCACTTCGCTTTAGCATTACAATGTCCGCAGGGAGAAGCAGTATGTTCGGATTTTACTTCGTGTGCTACCAAATTCAAGGGAGCAAGATGCATGTAGAATGATTAATACAAAATGCGTTCTTAGGTATTGATTACATGCGTTCTTATAAATGGATTACCGGTTTACCGGTTCGACTCAAGAGATGCATCCATGATGCATCATTGCGAAGGAATACAAGAAATATCTCTTTGGATTCGTACAGAATGTATCACTTTTATTACAGAAGAGAAGCATTCTTTTCTATGGATGCTGGACGCATCATCGCGAATGTAAATGGAATTAATCTTTAAAGATTCATTCACGATGCATGATTGGTAGCGAACGCAGTTAGCTTCTTAGTAATACATCCAGTTTCATTGGGTGAGAAAGTATTTTAATCATAATTTCAATACTGAACTTAAAAGAATCGCTTGTAGTAAATTTTACTTCAAATCAATCAGCTTTAGGTTGCAGTTTTGATAATTTATTCAAATTAATCCAAATTATGATTATTTTTTTTTGATTATTTAACTATGTTCTCTTTCGGACTTTTTAGAAACTCTAAAGAAATGAGCACACAAAATTTGACTTTCTATATATACATGTGCACGCAGGTTCCTATGTATCTACCTAACTATTATAAGTAGGTACCTATCTACCTACTATAATAGAAAATTAATTAAAACATTAACAAAAATAAATGTTAACAGTATAAAAATAATAAAAATACATAATACGTAAATACATTTTAGTATAGATATATTACCTACTGTACATTTGTGGCTCAGATAGACATGCAACTTTTAGTTTTGTAATTGTTTGATTGCTTATTTGTATTTCACAGACTTATTTTCAAGCGCGCACACATGCAACTGTATGGTCGCATGTAAAGGCAATCAAAAAGTTTGTAATTTTTTACAAGCTGATTGCGATTTTTATTTAACTCATTCGATTTGAATTGACGCAATAGTTTAGCTGATTACATATGCCCACAACGATATTACAATCAAGCAATAATGGCAAAATTGGCCCCTTAGGGGTCCAGATAGACATGCAATTTTCAGTTTTGCAACTATTGTTTGGAATCGTTCAGCACATTCAACCAAGTAAGCTATTGGGTCATTTCAAATTGATTAGGTAAACTTTTTAATTGCTTAATTGAACGGCATAATACAGTTGCACGTGTGCGCGCTGAGTATAAACCTGTGGAATACATATACAAATAAGCAATCAAACAGGTGCAAAATCTAAAAACTGTGTCTCTCTGAGCCGTAAAATTATGCATTTCTAATTGATAATATTATTTAGAGAAAAAAAGGGAATAGGTATGCACTTATTGAATTAAACCATAATAGTTTACTTCATATTCATGCTTTTTTACGGTTTTTGAAAGATATCAAAAGAATGTTCAATCAAACATTTGAATTCCTTAAATAAACTTCTAACTTTAAGTCACGGCATTACGTCTAACATATACTGAACCCTAGCCAACACGCACAGAACTAAAAAGTATAAAAAAACAAAGTTATGGTAACGTTTTAATAAATATCAACACTAATTTTACATTACTTAGTGAACAAGGATGAAAAGAGGTTCAAAATATTTAAAAGTTGTTTTTGTTACATAAATTCAGTTTAATATTAAAACAAGAAAGTCACAAAAAATTTATCGGAAACTCACTTGAGGAAATTAATTCATATATATATATATGCATGTATGTATGTAACTTTGATACATTTTTAATACGAAGTAAGTCTTTTTTCATTTCCAGAAATGTTTAAACATTTTTTCGAATATTTTGAATGTTCATATTAATAATAATTATTAATTTTACTTTAGCTTAAATTGAAACACAACAAAATTTTATAGTTAATACTCAATTGTTCTGTTAATTTAGTTTTATTGTGACAACTCCATGGATCTAATAATACAATGATAGGTGGCAAATTATAATATTTGAAGTCAACATAAGGTATGTTACTTTTTTGTTTTTTTTTTTTTTATGACATAAAAAGTATTGCCAGAAACGGTTTGAAAATATGGTTAGGAAATATGAATATAGTTAAAAATTTTTGTAAATTTTTCTTAAATCTAATGTTAAGCGTTTTTCTTTATGATAAAATCTAATTTTTACATACTCAGATGCTATTATTCTTATTAAATTTAGTATGTTATTTTCGTGCATAATAAACTCTTCCCATACTAATTATAATAATAAATTTAACTTTACCACTGGTTTTTCTTAAGTTCTTTAATAGTTTATTTAACTCTTGTCATTGCGGGAGCTCATATTATAATAATAAATTCGGTTATATTTTAAAAACAAGGACAAATCCACATGCCAATGCATTCGAAAACTTTAATTTATTTATTTGTTTAGCTCATTTTTACAAAATATTACATAAATATTTAATTACATAAATATTTAATTTAATTTAAAACTTACAATAAGATATATAATTATACATATTACATATTGTTAAATTTTTCTATTTATTTTACAGGTAAATATATATATGTACACTTCGTAAATATATTTAAATATACAAGTGTGTATATTTTTTCTCTTTTTTCCACTGTTTTCTTTATGTAGTAACAATTAACTATTACTTACAATTTATAATTTAGTTCTAGTAATAAAGAACAAAAAGAAACTATCTATCTTTACATTTACTTCCAAGACATACCATTAGTCCTATGAAAAGGTACTACAAAAAGATTTGGCGAGCGAGATCTCACATTAGTGTTAATAATTTTGCTCAGAATTTCGGGTGATATGACTTCCGATTTCAAAATATGGAAAATACACGAATAAATTTTTGGTTTGGTGAAAGTGCTTCATATAATATATCTACGAATTTTGTAAAAATCAATAAGCGTTTAGTTTAAATATCTGGAAAAATATGTCGCATAAAGTGAACCTTAAATAAATTCGACATTTATTTAAGGTTCACTTTATGTGATTTGATTTTCTAGAAGGGTTCACCAGTTATTCGAAATGGATCAAGAGGACAGTCCAACGTCTCATTAAAAAAATGTATGTGTGAGCAAAGTGAAATGTTTTCTATTGAAAACTTGACATATGGAATTTACTGCCATCACAGTGAAATTTTTTTAAGTAAAACTTACAATTATTTTAAAAACAGGAAAACACGATGAATTGCCAAGGTGCACAATTTTCATTCTTAACTAGGAACAACAGAGCGATGGCAAATAGTCTGATAAAAGTCGTATATGTAAACGCAGTTTGACATCAGACTTTGTTGGCAAATAATAAAAATTGCTTAGACTTGATATCTGACTTTTTAAAACTAAAATGGCGCAAAGTTTTTTGCGCGAATTTTGAGCAGCGATCAACTAATTTATATTTATATAGAATTTTTGAAGCAAATTATTAAATATTGACGTAAATTTTAAGAAAATTTGAGTCTATATGTAAACAGTTCTAGTTTTATTTTTTCATCTGGATCTGGATTTGATCGTATATGCAAATAGTACCTGAGTAGGACGAAAATTGTATAATTGGTAAATGCTGTTTGACACCAAACTTTTTCTGACAGCAAATAATAAAAATTATTTTACAATTGAATTTTGGCGAGTGTTGTCCACCGATTTTGTTATATAGTACTCTAGATTTTTTCAATTTCTCCACGAGATAAAAAATAAAATTTAACTTACTTGAATATTAATAATTATTAATACAAGAGGCTAATTTTAAAATAACACGATTTTAAAATAGCTAAGTTATTTTTTGGCAACGTCAATTCCGATTCCTTCTGGGGACAAAAAATAATATTGTTTCCATTATGAATATTTGTTTTAATTATAAATTGTTTCCATCAATTTGTTTCCATTATAAATATTTGTTATTTCCGTTTTAAATTAAGAAAAGCGAAATATTAAATTAATAAAATGACGAAATTAAAAAAAAAATAATTAAGATAACTATAGTAAAATACGTAAATGGTAAGAAATATAAAAAGTAAACATGTTATTAAAAAAAAAGCCAAAATATCACATTAAAAATATTTTAAATAACTATATCTATATTTTCATGAATTTCAATAGACACCAAGAAATGAGGGAAAAATGCTTTGGCAATTTATGTTGTTTGGAAAATTTGTTTGAATGAAATAAGTGGAAATATTGTATAGGAATATCATAATATAATTAAAATAAAAACAAACATTTCAGATGTAAGTTAAATATTATAGATTATTTAGACTTCTGTAGATTATTTATATTCCTTTTTCCACACCACCCCTGAGATAAAATTAATTTGGCATCAATTAATTTTTTAAAAAAGGTGCTGAAGAGCGATCATCAGATTTTAGTTCAGTTTTTCAAATGAATAAGAAAAAATTATTTGACGTCAACTCCCAGTTTGATTATGATATGTAAACATTTACTAGGTATTGTCATAGATTTAATATTAGATTTTGCTTCGTATGTAAACGGCACCTTACGTTTGAAGATATGCTCTAAAAATTTACAGGGTTTGCGACATATATGATGAAAGTTGTTGTTTTTAAGGAATGTGATGTAAACGCGGAGATATTATAAAGAGTAATTATTGAAATTTTTTTACTAAGGCATATCTTCTCGATGATGTCAAATTTTCAAACCTCTGTTACTCGTAACAATAACGTTTGTAATACAAAGTAAATTTTTGAGTCCTATTGTAAGCTGTTTTGTCAAATTAGTTTCAGAGACTTCAAATACATTCGCACTCGCTTTTAAGTTTTTAGAAGTTGAATTAAAATGCTTAAAAAGTCGATTTAACGTAAAAAAACTTTTTGAGTAAGATTAGAAGATATTTAAAAATAATAAAGTTAAGTTTGTAAATATGATTTGTATTACTTACTTTGAAATGAAAATTTTGAATTACATAAATAATCAGCAAAAGAGCTAAAAAATATGTCTTATAGTTCCTCAAATGCAAGCAACGAAAATGAGGATGAATTTGAAGCAGAAGAATGTAATGCTCTGCTTCCTACAAAAGATTTTGTGCTAGAAATGAATTTGTTTTTAGAACAATCAATAACTTCTCACAGCGAAAAAGTTAATGAAAGAGCTTTATTATTAAATCAAGAAATGCAGAAAACACTACAGAATATAAAACCATTGTTGGAAAAGTTAGTACAAAAATGCCGAGCTAAATATAAACATAATGAGCACATGTTAAAATTATTGAAGCTAATGAACAGAAAAAATCCTTTGAAGGCAATTAACAAGTCGTACCAAGTTTGCGGTATCCCTTATTTTAAAACCAAACAGAAATTTTCACATCCCCCCAACGAAGACTATTTAAGGCGAAAAAATAATATGGAGGTATTCCCAGTTGATATATTGTACGATAAACAAAATTATTGGTCTTTGAAAGATAAAGCAGCCATTATAGAGGGTGTAAAAGAACAAGTTAGAAATTTTTACCTAGTTGTTTTGTAACTAAATTTTTTAAAATTTTAGGTAGTGGAACACTTATCTGGTAGAAAAAGAAATGAACCCTGTACTTCAATTGGCCATGAAATAAGATCAAATAAACAAACATTATTACGTGAACAATTATCAAATTTGCTTCCTCAATGTGATAAAAAATTTAAAATATGTTGGTATCGAGTTTGTACAGAATACGTCAAATCACATAAGGAACATCTTTGCGATGCCATGTGGAATATGTATTTAAAGCCAGGATTATCTCGAGATCCATGGGATGATAAGGAAAATAATGTTTTGCTAGGAGCTGCAACAGATAATAATTTTCAAAATTGGTCAAAAATAGCTAATATCATTGGAAATAGATCTGAATTGCAGTGCTTTACTCAATATTTTACAGTTCTATTACATTACCAATCACAAAAAGTAACAAAATGGACTCCAGAAGATGATGAGAAATTAAAAAAAGCAGTTAAAAAGTGTAGTATGAATAACATAATACGATGGAATTTGGTCAAACAACATTTTCCAAATTTACGAACTTCTCAATTACATCACAGGTACCATTACAGCGTGGATCCCAATATAAATAAGTCGAAATTTACATGGATAGAAGATTGTGCTATTTTGGCAGCAATAGAACAGTATGGAGAGACTTTTAAGGATTTCCCTCTTGGATTACTCCCAGGAAGAACAATCGTTCAAATTAGAAATCGGTGGCACAACACGTTAAAACATAGTGGAAAGCATTCATTTTGGAGTATAGATGAAGATAAAAAGCTCCTTGAATTGGTTGCAAGACATGGGGAAGGGAACTACAGTGTTATATCCAGCGAATTTTTAAATAAATCTAGATGTAGTGTGCGACAAAGACTCTACACAATTAAAAAATTTTTCGAAAGGACACCTAACGCAAAAATAGAAAATTGTCCACGAAGGCATAAACCATTACGGACTGCAGTTACAAGTGAAAATTGGCAACAAAAAATTACAGAAAATTTAGACAATCCAAATAAAAATCTGGGTAAAAGTATGGAAACAAAAGATTCGACTCGAAAATATTATAACTCATTGCGTTCTTTGGAAAAAAAGTATTATCAGATTTTTAAATTCTCATATGACTACTCCTTTAAAAAGGAATTATTTTCCATGTATAGTATTTCAAATTTAAATTTTTTAGTTGATTTGCTGAAAGTCAACATCGACAAAAAAACATTAACGCATACAAAAGCAATGTTTAATGCTGAAGACTATTGTGCATTGCAAAAGTTAGTAGAATATAGAAAAAAGGGGGACTACAAAAAAATTGAAAGTGCAAACCTTCCGCCAAGTTGGTCTACGTTACTTGGATTTCGCGGTGCATGCATTCAATGCGCATCTACAATTCATACGAAATCCACGGATAAAGTAAGTAAAGAATCCATAATCAATACCGAAAAAGGAGAATTAGCGAAAAATTTATTTCGTAAACGTTTTTATACTATGTTTTATAAAACCGCCCTGTTAAGTAGATTAGACTGTTTTATTCCTCATGAGGTTTTGTTGTCTAACGGTAAAATATTAGAGAGTATAGCAAAAAACGAACTTTCGGAAAAAGATTGCAATTTGCGAAAAAGAAGAAATTCTTGTACCGACCCTGAAGAAACCAATCGAATTAAAGAAATAAAATTGGAAATATAAATTTAATTTCTTTTAATCCTTAATGTAGAAAAAATTTTAAAATAAGTATGTATATGTAATTTAATTGAAGAAAATTTGGATATATGTATTTTTGCTTAGATAGGTACTTGGATTAATATTTTGAAATAGAGACAAATTGAAAATAAAATCTTCATTAAAAGTTTTAACTAATTTTTTTAATTAAGCATGGAAATTAATCAATATAGATGTTATAAATATAAAGACTGCTTATTATTTTTCATTTATTTTAACGGTACAAATGATCGGCTTGAATATTGGAAGCAATTTCAGATTCCCATTTATCACCGTTACTTAGAAGTTTTTCCTTATTATATAGTAGTTCTTCATGTGTTTCTGTAGAAAATTCAAAATTAGGTCCTTCCACTATAGCATCGACTGGGCACGCTTCCTAAAAATATATTTAAATTTTTTCTTTCATTTGCAATAAATTCAGATTCTAAACAAAATATACTTGACAAAATCCACAATAAATGCACTTTGTCATGTCAATATCATAACGAGTTGTTCTTCGGCTGCCGTCAGCTCTCTCTTCAGCTTCAATAGTAATAGCTTGAGCTGGACAAATTGCTTCGCATAATTTACAAGCAATACATCTCTCTTCACCACTCGGATAACGCCTTAAAGCATGTTCTCCACGAAATCTTGGACTTAACGGCCCTTTTTCGAAAGGATAGTTTATAGTAGCAGGCTCTTTAAAAATATGAGCCAACGTTACCATAAAACCGCGAATTAATTCAGTCCAAAACATAGTTGCAGCGGCCCGATCGGTAATATCTTTAAATTCCATGCTCAGCTCTTTATTATTGACATAAATATATCCTTTTTCAGGTTTAACGATATCAAGATGACTGGTATCATGTTTGGCTACAGCAGAAAGTGCTCTGTACAACGTTGGGTTAAAGAAACCACGACCTAAATAAAAGAATATTTATGTTAATATACAAATTTTTAAAAGTATTAGTTATTATTTTTGTATATTTGATGACATAAGATGGTTTAACCTTAAAGTTTTATTAAAAAAAACAAAAGGTTGATTTCAGCTTAATGTCCGAAAATAATATAATAAATATATAAAAACTTAACTTACATAATTTTGTGGCCGCATATACTTTAACCACAGACATCTTTAAAATTTAAAAGAAATATTTTGATACAACAAAAAACTATGAAAATTTCTTAGCTCAGCTGTATTAAAAGAGAAAATAATCCCATATTTCACCTCAAAAATTGTCAAATGGTTGAGGTGAAACTTTGACATAGCAAGAGCATATTTTTTTCTTCCTCAGTATTTCTGCCAGGGTAAATTTATATAACGTAAAAATAAAGTAAATGTACACTAAACTAAAATAAATGTTAGTTTAGTGTAGACGAGGCAAAAAAAAAAATCCGGAAGGTTACGAATATTGTATCATGCAAAAGCATGTTATATAAATAGATATGTAATATATCTTGAAAACATTGTATTTTCCTTGTAAATTTTCTATTTTCTTATAAAAAGTTAATTTTTTATGGTTGACGGTAATTTTCCACAAAAATGCGGTTCAGTACATTTGATTTGTGTCGTAGACATATGGTCCAGTGTTGAGATATTTGATGACGTTTTATGTCAAATTTAAAAGAAAAGATCCGAAAGCAGTTATAATAATTGTGCATTAAATATAAACAAATTGTTTAAATTTGACACAAAACAAACACTTTTTTGTCGGTGTATGCGGCTTTTGTTTTTAATATTTTATAAATTTATTGAGTTCAAGTTCTAGATTTGATAGTTATGGATTTGAAAGGCATTCGATAGGGTTTGAAAGGCATTCGTGAAAAGAGCTCCAAAGAACTTTGATTTTCAAACTTTTGGAATAAACCTCTTCCGAGAAGCTCACGGTGATCACAATAGAAAGTCACCAATTACAAACGAGTCAAGGACATTTAGTTGATAAGTTGATGGAAAATTTTCCAGAAATATTAGCTTTTTTCCAAAATATTGTTCAAATACAACGATTATTGCACATAATTTAATCATAATTTCAAAGCAATAGTTGAAAATCAGCATTTAATTCAAGAAATATTGAAAAATATAACATCTTTCAACATTCCAAAACTCATGACCTTTTTCTAAAATAAAGTCATTTTTATACAAAAAACTAATGTCTTTATATCTAACAAGTCCCAATACTCAATTTTTTTTACGAAATGTTACGAATTTTTGGCCTCGTTGTTGGTTTTTTCTTTAAATGCCACTGATCGTGTCATATTTTTTATTATTTTTTTCTTTTTTTTTACGTAAAAAAGAGATTAATATTTTAAAAAATCTCAGGATATTATACACATTTTTTAAAAAGCTTCCCATTTAAATTCTATTGCACGAAAAAGAAAGAAAGGTAGGAGGAAAGAAAAAATAAAAAAAAATTTCAAATTCATATTTCAGTATGGTTTCAAATGTTAATGAGGAAGGATGTATGATTTTTTATGCACATTTTGTATTTCCCAATAAGGTAAGTTGAGTAGTGTCGGCTAACAAAAATGTTATTAAAAGTAATATAGGTTGACACATTTCAACAATTTGAATTATCTCATTTCGATTATTCATACGTTACTTATAAAATTGTTTCAAATAATTTCAGTTAGTTTTTAAATTATTAAAAATAAATATGTATGTACCTACTTCTAATAAATTTTTTTTTAAATAATTATTTTAAAACTATTTCAAACATGTTATATTGAGTGCTTCAAAAATGTTGCTGTGCTCTTTTTTCATGTTTTATTAGCAGGTAAACAAGAGCAATCTATTTATAAAATGTCCCTGCATGTGTATGTATGACCTATCTTAATTCTAAACGGAAAGAATTTTAAAATACCTGAACAAAAATTTTAAAATACCTGTTATTTTACAGTCGGAATTTTCGAGTCATTTGGTAAAATACCATTTATTTCAAAAATAGAAAAATATTCAAATCCGGTCATAAAAATATATGATTGTTTTTTCCAAACATTTTAAATATTTTTTTTTCTTAGGTAATTGATACGAGCATAAATGATAGTAAGTTTTTAATATTTTTTCAAATAAAAATAGAGGTAAAATTTTGAAGTTTATATAAAATTTGTATTTAACAAATAATATTTGATTGTATTTTAGATATTATTTTCTAATTCCCTCTTCAAATTTTTTCTTTACTATGTATTTATATCAATATTTAAGAATTATCTTTCATTAATTATATTTTCAACTTGACACCACAGGTACTTCCCATATCTTGCGTTAACTTACCCTATGAGAAAAAAAAGCTGTTCACTTAAAAATAATGAAATGCTTTCAGTAACAAATAAAACGTTGAAGGCGAAGGTTGTGTTTGTTGTTTTTCCCCCTTTTTTTTAAATTTTAAAATAATTATCAATGAAAATATTAATATATTTTTTTGATTTTTCAAATATATGTTCTAAATTTTACCTGCTTTATAATAAGTGTGAATTTATTTTAATATTTCTTCTCAAAAAATAGCCACTTCGATTTAAAAAAGGCCATATAAAATAAGGTGTGCTTTCAAGTTTCTCTCTGAGCATTGGGACTTGTTAGATATAAAGACATTACAAAAAACTTATTAAAATTTGTTTTGCCTTGATCACTTTTCCATTCTCTCATCTTTTGTTCTTTTTTCTCATTAAAATTAGAAAACCAAATTGTTGTTGCAATTAAAACAGAAATAAAAAAAATTGCAAATAAAAATGTGATATCGTGATTCGTGACTCGTGAGATCATAACTCATAGATATGTATACATTTTTTTCTCTTTCATAATGAAATGAGTGATAATAATATATTTCATATTTTATATAATTGTTTGTACATATTAATATTAATATAATTATAAGCATTAATATTCTCTTATTTTCACAAATAAGCATTAATATTCTCTTATTTTCCCCTTTTTGCATGAGTTGGAAATGTATTAATTCATGTTTTTAAGAGTTAAAGAAACTAAAATTGGAAGTATATGATAAAAATTTGTGAACTAATTATTAATATTTGTTTTAGAACATCTTTTATTTGAGTTTATCATAATGTAACACTTTCTCTACTCTTCCAAACTACCTCGTATCTATCTAGATCTAGATGCATCTATCTATCTCGTGTGTACTTTAGATTCTAAAACACCGTCACAGTTCGGGAACGACCGGATAAAACGAAAAAGGAAGACGTTGCAAGGGAATTTTCCGTGATGCCCCATAACGGAAAAAAAATAGTGGGAGCAAACCTCTCAGGCGACCGCTACGGAAAGCAAACTTTCCGAGCTGCTAGAATGATCCGAGGATATGATACTCAGCAGGGCAGGTGTCAGAGTACCTATGTTTATTAACAACATATTCTGTACCTTTGTCAGTTTTAAATATTTTCATGGGCCCGATTACATATTTAGTCAACTAGCACTGCATCGTTACCATGTATCTATTTCCTTGTTGAGTTACAGGAAATGGTCTTAACGCACCAAGTTCAATAATGTCGAAACCAGAGCCTGCCGTAGGCGTTAGAAGCATTTTATATTTCAAAATAACACCCGGTTTATTTAATTTACATTTTTCACAATTTTTGATATAGTTAAAAACTTCGTTTTTCATATTTTTCCATTTAAATTGGTATTTCAGCTTACCCAGCTAAATATTCTAACTTTCGCGCATAAATTAACTTTTTTCACGTTATATTTTAATAACAGTTCGTCTAGAGTAGCTAATACGTGTCCTAAAATGAGCAAACCATTTTCATTAAATATATTCTTACAAATTTTGTTAACACATGTTCTAATATTATGGAAATTTATTTTCTTTTTATTGATATCAAACCCCACAAATGGTATTTTTGTAATTTCAACATTATTTATACATTCGTACACAGTCATATTTGTTGTATTTTGTTTAGAGTATTTTTTTTCTTGAATGGCTGCGTACCATTCAAATTAAATACATTATTCTGTTAATTCAAATATCCTAACTTATGTGGTATACAACAATTGTTAGTGTCTTACTGCTTATTGTTGCTTAAATTACTTGATTTAGACATGGATCTAGTACACATTTGATAAAGTATCTGTATACCACCGTACATTACTTTGAAATTAGTTTTTGTTATTCTAGACAGTGCATCCGCTCCTAAGTTATCCTTACCCTTTATATGAGTCACTTCAAAGTCATATTCTTCTAATTACAAGCGTATTCTAGTTAGTCTTGAAAAAAGGTTTCCAAAGAGAAAAGGTAAACCACTTACGTCACCTTTTTTTTGAAAAACATACATTTTTGTGGATTAAGCTTTTAAATTTAATTTGGAACCAGTTTTGAAAATAGCTTTCAGGTTTTGCAAATGATGCTTTACTGAACAACTAGTAACAATTAGATCATCCATATAAAGAAATGCGTTTTCAGGTTTGTAGGACCATTTCTGGATAGTCATGGGGTTGCTTCCCGTCTTTCATGTTGTGGATGTATACTATGATGATCGTGCCGCTTATAGTAAGGGAGTACAGCCTCAAGAAGAACTGGGTGATTTATCAGGTTGCTTAGGGGGATCACACACCATGAAGTGTTACACTTAGGGGTCGAAGACCTGTGCTGAAAAGAGTGAGGTACTGTTTGGGCCAACAACCAAATTCTCAGAACCTATGGAAGCTTTTCCGAACGTGTTTCAGGCCGAGGATTTGAATTTATCCGTTGATTGATATGCAAGTGATTAATAAGTAAAAAATTAAAATGATTGCAAAAAACTAATTAAAATATTTAATTTAAAAGTAGTTGCGTATTACACTGTACTCGTAAGATAATGGATGTATACTATGATGATCGTGCCGCTTATAGTAAGGGAGTACAGCCTCAAGAAGAACTGGGTGATTTATCAGGTTGCTTAGGGGGATCACACGCCATGAAGTGTTACACTTAGGGGTCGAAGACCTGTGCTGAAACGGGTGAGGTACTGTTTGGGCCAACAACCAAATTCTCAGAACCTATGGAAGCATTTCCAAACGTGTTTCAGGCCGAGGATTTGAATTTATCCGTTGATTGATATACAAGTGATTAATAAAACAATGTTTTGAGGGATTCAAAACAGAAACGATGGAACTGAATGCAACCTTGAAGCCGACACTTCAAAAAAATATTGAACTGTGTCATGAAATAAAAAATGCTAGTGCAACAAATAACAACGTAGTATATAACAATACATCGTTTGCTGAAATAATATAAAAAGCGGGAAATTCAAAAA